ATTCTGTTATGTAATATATTCTACAATAAAAGTTTGTTTGTATTGTAATTTTTATTTGGTGTGCTTATTTCGATTGTAAATGTTATGTACATTTTAATGAATAAAGCCTTGTTTATATTACAGTATTGAACTAATATTTGTTCATTTTTATCTTTTCGAAGATATGGAGTTAACTAAAATTTCTCCAAGTGGCTCTGAACAATGTCTAATAGACAGTGCCACAACGCACACCATTTTGAGACATAGAGATTATTTTTCTCATATGACATTAGTTGATGCTAATGTCAATACAATCTCAGGTGTTGCTAAACTCATTGAAGGTTCTGGAATAGCCTGTGTGATTCTCCCAAAAGGGACAAAATTAATAATTAAAGACGCTTTATACTCCAGTAAATCACGGAGAAATCTTTTGAGCTTTAAAGATTTGCGTCTGAATGGTTTTCATATTGAAACCATGTCTGAAAATCAGAAGGAATATTTATGTCTAACGACAAATAGATCTGGCAATAAATACATTTCTGAAAAAATGCCAGCATATTCCTCAGGACTGTATTATACATATATCAGTCCAATTGAGATAAATGTGGTATCTAAAATTTATGACCACAATTCCTTTATCTTGTGGCATGACCGTTTAGGTCATCCAGGCAGCACTATGATGCACAAAATTATTGAAAATTCACGTGGACATTCATTAACTAATGTCAAGATTCCACAATCAAGTGATTTTCCGTGCACTGCCTGTTCTCTTGGCAAATTAATTATCAGGCCATCTTTATACAAAATTGGAGTTGAATCTCCTGCATTTTTAGAAAGAATTCAAGGAGATATTTGTGGGCCAATTACCCCTCCGTGTGGACCGTTTCGATATTTTATGGTGCTCATTGATGCATCAACACGTTGGTCACATGTCAGTCTTTTATCGACTAGAAATTTTGCATTTGCAAATCTCCTTGCTCAAATTATTCGTTTGAGATCACAATTTCCGGATTATTCGATAAAGAAAATCCGACTTGATAATGCAGGAGAATTTACATCCCAATCTTTTAATGACTATTGCATGTCAATTGGGATTGATGTGGAACATCCAGTTCCACATGTACACACACAAAATGGTCTTGCTGAATCCTTAATTAAGCGATTACAATTAATTGCTAGACCATTATTGATGAAATCCAGATTACCATCATCTGCATGGGGATATGCTATAATGCATGCTGCAAATTTAATTCGGCTTAGGCCAACGGCATATCATAAATTTTCCCCATTACAATTAATATCTGGTAAAGAACCAAATATATCACACCTAAAAATATTTGGTTGTTCTGTGTATGTACCAATTGCTCCACCTTATCGTACTAAAATGGGTCCTCAAAGAAGGCTGGGAATTTATGTTGGTTTTAAATCACCCTCAATTATTAATTATCTAGAACCTATGACCGGTGACTTATTCACCGCGCGGTTCGATGACTGTCATTTTGATGAGACAGTATTCCCAGCCTTAGGGGGAGATATTAAAGAAATGGACCCACGTACGAAAGATATTACTTGGAATGCAACAAATTTATCTTTTCTTGATTCTCGCACAAATGCTTGTGAACAAGAAATTCAAAAGATTATTCATTTACAAAATGTTGCAAACCAATTGCCTGATGCTTTCACAGACTCAAAGAAAGTGACAAAGTCACATGTTCCAGCTATGAATTCTCCTTCTCGAATAGAAATTCCTGCGGAGATTAGCGAAAGAACACTTGCTAATGAATCTATGGCACGTAAAAAACGTGGTAGACCACTTGGTTCAAGAGATTTGAAACCAAGAAAATTTAAACAGCAAGTTGTAGTTTGTGATGCCAAAGAAGTTCAACCTTCTCAAGAAGAAAATGAACATTTTGAAAATATCGGCCTTGAAGATAACATCAACAATAATGATACCTCAAAAGAGGATCCAATCACCTTCGAAGAGGTAAATATTCCAGATAAAGATAGAAACGTCGATAATTTTGAAATTTCAATTAATTACGTTTCTAATGGAATACAATGGAATAGAAATGATATTGATGTTAATGATATATTTTCATATGCCATCGCCACAGATATAATGAATGAACACGATGACAATGAGCCTAAATCTATTGACGAATGTCGTCGTAGAAATGATTGGCCAAAATGGAATGAAGCAATTCAGGTAGAATTAAAATCGCTAGAAAAGCGTAATGTTTTTGGACCAATTGTCCATACGCCAAAAGGCGTAAAACCAGTCGGTTTTAAATGGGTTTTTGTGCGTAAACGCAACGAGAAAAATGAAATCGTTAGATACAAAGCCCGACTTGTTGCCCAAGGTTTTTCTCAAATGCCAGGAATCGATTATGATGAGACGTATTCTCCAGTAGTTGATGCTACAACTTTAAGATTTTTAATTGGCATGTCTGTTTTTGAAAGGCTGCAAATGCGCCTAATGGATGTGGTGACCGCATATTTATACGGTTCACTCGATACAGACATATATATGAGAATTCCTGGAGGCTTTAAAATACCTGATGCTTATAGCTCGAAATCTCGAGATTTATTTTCCATAAAATTGCAAAAGTCATTATATGGATTAAAACAATCTGGACGCATGTGGTATAACCGTCTCAGTGAATATTTGATTAAAGAAGGGTATAAAAATGATCCTATTAGTCCATGTGTTTTCATTCAACGATCCGAATCAGGATTCGCCATAATTGCAGTATATGTTGATGATTTGAATATAATCGGAACTCCTAATGAAATTGAAAATACTGCAAAATATCTCATGAAAGAATTTGAAATGAAAGACCTTGGGAGAACAAAATTTTGTCTCGGCATTCAAATTGAACATTTGAGAAATGGTATTTTCATCCACCAATCAAATTATACCGAGAAACTTTTGAAGCGATTTTACATGGATAAAGCACATCCGCTCAATTCTCCAATGGTGGTTCGATCTCTCAATGTGCATGATGATCCTTTCCGACCTTGTGAAGATGATGAAGAAATCCTTGGTCCCGAAATACCATATTTGAGTGCTATTGGAGCATTAATGTATTTGGCTAATAATACTCGACCAGATATTGCTTTTTCTGTAAATTTATTAGCCAGGTACAGTTCTTCCCCAACAAGAAGGCATTGGAATGGTGTCAAACATATATTCCGATATCTCAATGGTACAATCGATCTTGGATTGTATTTCAAGAATGGTGCAAATGCCACTTTAATTGGCTACGCGGATGCAGGATACTTGTCTGATCCACAAAAGGCAAAATCACAAACAGGATATTTATTCACCTATGGTGATACCGCTATATCATGGAGATCAATGAAGCAAACATTAACTGCAACATCATCAAATCATGCAGAATTAATTGCTCTTTATGAAGCAGGTCGTGAGTGTGTCTGGTTGAGATCAATGATCCAGCACATACAAAATGAATGCGGTATAAAATCTTTTACTTCTAATCCTACTATGATTTATGAAGATAATACATCATGTATAGCTCAGATCAAAGGGGGTTACATCAAAGGGGACAGAACAAAGCATATAGCACCAAAACTTTTCTCCACACATGATCTTGAGAAAGACGGAACGGTTGATGTCAAACAAATCAAGTCATGCGACAACCCTGCTGATTTGTTCACAAAGTCATTGGCACCGAAGATATTTGAAGAACTGGTCCATAAAATTGGAATGTATCGTCTTCGAGATATATGTTAAATTGAGGGGGAGTAATATAATGCACTGCACTCTTTTTCCCTTCGTCAGGTTTTTTATCCCACTGGGTTTTTCTTGACAAAGGTTTTTAACGAGACAGTACATTATAATACTATGAATCTAATACCCCAGAATAATTAGAAGATGACCATTCAAGGGGGAGTGTTGAAATATAATTGAATTAGTCATCTTCCAACTATTCCTGATTAGGAATTATTATCACCATTATATAAATAATCAGGAAATCATAATTATGATTCTAGATGATAATTGTGTGGTTCACAATTATCCTCTAATCCTATGAAGCTTAACTTTTCTCCTATAAATAGGAGGCTTCTCCATTGTAATTAACACACCATGGTTACACCATTATCACACTTCTAATAACATCTTTCTCACTAAGTATTCAGACTATACTTTCTCTCCCTGATCTTCTGCTTATTTCCTTCCATATTATAACAAATAGTCTTATTTAAAAAATATTCAATTTTTATTGCATCACCTATCGAGTGCTATAAATATTACACTGTTCATCCCTTATCTTTCAATTTTTTTATCCGTCCCATTTAATCTTTTATTTACATTTCTCTTTTATTTGCACAACTCTCCATTATATAATACTACGTAGTCAGTATTTGGGAAGATAATTATTTAGAGTTTTGCCACTTTTAGTCCTCCGACTATTATGTCATTGACACTTTTGGTACTCGACTTTGATTTTTTTCACTTTTAGTCCTTAACTATTGTATTAGAGACACTTTTGATATTCGTCTTTGAAAATTCAATATTTAGTCCTCCGATTTTCATAGAAGTACAATTTTGGTCCTTCAACTATTATAATAATCACATTTTAGTCTTCCATTTATTGTGTCTAAATCATAGTAGAAGGACTAAAAGTGTCAATTTGATAATACCCTAGAGACAAAATGTGAAACTTTGAAGTTGAAAACTAAAACCGTCTCGAACACAATAGTCAAGAATTAAAATTGAAAAAACTGAAAGTGAGTACTTGTGAAAGAAACAACAATGAAAGAGGCAGAAAATGATAAAAACTCGATAATTTAAGAAGAGGCTCGGTATTTCTTAATGGGTGTGTTTGGATTTGATTCTTAAAACTGCTTCTGCTTCCTCAAGTGATTTTGGTGCCCTAATTTACTCCTAAAATCAATTTTGTTAGAAGCTGAGGAAGACCAGCTTCTGAAAAAGTGATTCTGATTCTGCTTTTGCTTTATAAAAGAAGCATAAGCAAAATTAGTTCCAACCACCCTCAATCATCAAATCATCGATATACTATGCTCATCAGCTCATTTAGTAATTTTACACAAGAATCCCAACAACAAATTATTAAGTAGTCTAGTGATTTTCTATTGAAAATGAGTAGAATGGATGAAGTCAATTGATTGAGCTTCAACAGGCAGAATCCCTCCGTCTCTGCACGGTGTACATACCGACAGCCGGCCAATAATCCGGCCGAGGTGCTAAATGAACCGTACTCCGCCGTGGTTCAACAAAAGTAAAAAAAGACCTCGCCGGGAAAACAAGAATGCCCGGTCCGGGTCCGCACATGATATACGCACTCGGATCTGGGCTGGCCTTGATGAGCACATCTAGCGGCCACTTCAGCCCTCACCACTGCCTTACCTACTCCATCAATGCTTTCTTCGGGCCGGACATTGGCTCTTTCTGCGAGTGGTTATCGTCTACTCTCGGGTTGGGCGTGGATTTAGGATCACCAATTGAGCCATGGATCCACGACCCTTTCTACTATTTCCTCATTCTGGGCTTCCCTCTTTCTCTGCTCTACAGCTTGGCCTCCAAGTTCCTCCTCCGCAAAGGGTTTCTTGATTCCATTTCCAGGGTCTGCCTTAAAGTTCTCAAACATTTCTGTATGTAGCTTAAGAAAAAAGTCATCTTTATATATGCCAATTTGAATTTACTGTATTTCTATTGCAGGTTCCTCTTACAAAGATGCAGTGTTTTTTGTTGGTGGCTGCTGGTTCTTTATCACATTTTTTCTTGGACCATTTGTTTGAGGTAAAACTTGTCACTCAGTTCTGATTACATAGTGACGGCAATTATTTTAGCAGCTGCTGTTTGTTTAATGTGACTAGCCAGTGTGTTTATTTTAATTGAGATGAAGAAGGAGAAGGGTTTAAATAAAAATATACAATGCAGCCTCCTTAGCCAAAAAAGAACTCTCCTTTGACTAATGAAGAAACTTTTTTGTAAGGCTTTACAATAAAAAACATGATTATATTTTCATAGTTGATGTATTTGTTTAGCTAAATGTAGTAGATATAGGGTCTGTTTGCAACAACTTCTACTTTAAAAAAAGTGCTTTTTTTAATGAAATGAGAAGTGATTAAATAAAAGTTGATAGTGTTTGAGAAAAAAGTGATTTTGAAAAGTAAAAGTTGATAATGTTTGGTAAAATAAGTGCTTTTTGTGTAATAGAAAAAGTAAAAGCACTTTTGACACGAAAGCTGAGAAAAATAAAAGTTGTAGTGTTTGATAAAAAAAGTGCTTTTTAAAGCCAAAAGCTTAGAAGTGCTTTTTTTAAAGTGGTTGCAAACTAACCCATAATTTGTTTGCAACTTCTTTTGGTATTTTATTGACAAGTCACATGAAAAACAGATTTATTTAACTAAAGTAGACTCTTTTTTGGGACAAAAGATGCTTTTGGAAGTGGATTTTTTTGGACGGAGGATCTAATATGAAACATCTGATACATCAATGTTTAGGGTAAATGCTAATTAGTGTCCTTAGAGCGATATTTAATAAATCAAAAGTGATTTTTTTTTATTGTGATGTAAACAAAGAATTGTTCTTTGATTTTCATTAAGATCTTTCCACTTTTAGTACCTTAATGACTTGATCGATTCCCTATAAGCATTAGTTAAAATATCTGAAACTTGATGTTCATCAGTTCATCTTTCATTTAGCAATTATGTAGCACCAAAAGTTATCCTACCATTAGTGTTTCCCCCAGTTTCTCTTTCGTTTTTTCTATGTGTATTTACCATTTATACAGCCATCAGATATTAGAGTTCTTCTCTAAGCAGCGCTTTAACACTTGTGAATTCTGACATCAGTGAACACAAATGTAAGAACAGATGCATTTGATCCTGTTAAGTGTGTTTTCCAAAGCATAGTTCAGTCATGATCATCATCTTCTGCTGATACTGATTGTTACGAACAAAATAGACTGTTAGGCTAGTGATGGAACTGATATCAAAATTGAAAGTTTACCATCAGTTAGGGATACTATGAAGCTAACAAAGTCCATATTATCCTGCAGTTTGGTTAAGGAGTCTCAGGTTATTTGAGAAGGGAGAGATTTTTCGGGGGTGAATGCAAAAATGCTTGACATAAAAGTGCAAGTGATGGTTATTTTGTTGCCTTCTTTTTCTTAGTTTTTTCGTAGAAATTCTTAAGGTTGCAGCTATGTTTACTCATTGGGGCGTTTTAAGAAAACCAGTCAAACTACCGAACCAGACAAAGTACGAAAAACACAGAACGGCTCCTTAGAGAGATGCTCTGGCGATACCCTAAGTCTAAACTCTTAGATTCTCTATGGCGGAGCCCCCCAAAACCGATAACCCCAGAATTTCATCCGCTGAACCACAGTAGCGTCCAGATCAGACAAACTGGCTTCAAATCTTCAATACGCCTTGGTTGGTAAGTTCATTAACGGTAGACTTCCTCTCAAAGCTATTCAGAAAGTTTTGGAAGCTTTGGTCCAAACCTTGACCAAAACAAAATAATTATTCCTTCTCTGACAAAGCCGAATACATATGCTGTCATTCGAGGAACTGATAAGTATTCTCACAACAACTTAGAATAGTAGAAAGAAATTGTAAAAAGATGATCAAGAATATATCAGAAAGCTTCACTTTCATTCATGGTGGATCTACACAATAACGATACAATTAGATGGTCTCAATCTCCGAGCCCAAGTCTAACTGAAAACCAGCCTACGTACCTCTCCCCTATTTCCTCTATTCATTTGTTTCATTCTTTCATCCTCGCAGGGACATATCAGCGATCAGCGAACTAACTAACCATATTTAGTTAGAATTCACATGATTTAGTAGCAGTTTCCAAATTTCCACCTTGGGATAAGGTGGATTTTCAGGGGAGAGTATTGATAGGCATTCGGAGAATTGTCTAGAAAGGCATGGTTTTGATTGAGTTATTGGATGAATACAGTTATGAAGATGTGATCGGTAGAATTCATTATGATTGATAATCGCAAATTTTTACGGAGAATGATATAATTAGATGAGTGCATTATTAATCAATTGCAACGTTAATGTTTAAATAAAAGTAGTATCATTAAGAAGATAAAGAAAAATAACATTATAGAAGTGCTCGCGACCATTGTTCTAAAATTCGATAGGCGCTAGTCAGGCGGTTGAGGAGTGCCTAGACGGCCGACTAGGCCTCTACAGTTAGGATCGACTAGGCCGACTAGGTCGATTAATCGGTTCGACTAGGTCGATTTTTAGAACAGTGCTTGCAACATAATAATATTCCAGAAGTATATAAGTTAACAACATACATACCAACTAGCATGCTACAACTAGCTAGCCATGGAGTATTATGTTCCAGGTAGTTTTATATGCTTAAATAGTATAGTAACGACAATACTAGATAATTGGCCCATGTATGTACTGTTTAGTAATGATAATGATAACATACTTATTCAAAAGCATATAGATTACATGAGATAATTATTACGGATCAGAATATGGAAAGGAGCATTATGTTAGAGGATGGTGACATAGACTCGAACTTCACAATATTTACCGAATATGTTCTTCGTCTGAGTTTCGATGGCGGCATCAAAATTGGCATATTCGTTGGCAATTCGGTCATCATGTGGGATGACGTCGTAATCCCACAAAACAGCAGTAACGGTCATACCGGTCAAAGGCACAACCACAAGTGAGCAGTCCAAGAGAATGTTTTAATTTCGACGAACTTCAACAGAAGAATGATGACCTTTGTTAAACAATTATGTTGTACACATCCGCCGAAGACTCTCCATCTCCTTTTACGAGCAAAATCAATTTGGTGGCACTGAGAGCATACCTGATGACGGAGTAACTGACTTGAACACGTTCGTATCTGCCATCCACAACCTTCTCCAATTGGCGGTCGTAATTCTTGAAATTTTGATTCTCCATTTTGGGTTACCACACAATCTCCCCAAGGGTGATCTAATCATTAGGAGAAAAAACTTCGTAGTTTTAGAGGTTGACGCTAATGACGAAGACATCGTCCCCGCAAATGGGAAGAGAACTGCTTGTCAGTGTGGCATATTGGTAAGGACCTTTCTTCTCAGAGTTGGGTGAGGCTTTGTTGTATGCGTAAACTTGCCCATCCAGATTTTAACCTTCATGGTTCTGTGAGTGTCACTCGAGTCATCTCCATCAACACCCAACAAGAGAACATAATCGATGCAAAGAGTTAAAAGAGTATGTTGCAACGACCACTTTTTGGAGAAAAGTACAACAAAAGTTCAAATGCAGCACGGGCTGGACCGAAAGTTGAAATGTCTTTTGGGTTGGGGTTCAAGACGCCGAGCAGCTGAGTGTTGTCATCAGCAGTGTAGGGGTAGTGGTTTAGGAGTGTTCCAGATTGTGACGATGTGTTGGGTTATCTGATAAAACTTGGCAGATTCGGCAATCATTTGAACGAGACAAAGCAAAGCCTTATCGCAGTTCTTCAACGTATCCCTTTCTAATGTGTTTGGGTCAGGTGTCCTGAATAGCATGAAAATGACATTCACTGTTCGGCCCCACCCAGATGAATGGTTTCACGTGAAGCAACAGAAGCAGAAACAAAATTGGGCAATAATTCTTGTAGCGTCCATTGTAAGCCGCCTAGAACCCGAAATATCCGTGTTGTCCGCAAACTCCCAGAATGTTGCGCTGTTATCCGTGGAGTATCCACGCACGTAGACGTTTCTCTTATCGATTGTCAGGGTGATGGCATCACCATTGTCATTGCTGATGAGCCGGACATCTACCTAGCTCGCCGAGTTCGTCAATGGTTGGCGGACAAGGATATTAAAGTTGGAAGGGAATGGGGTATATTTGTATGTGTTTGGATGAGATTAGGCCGAATACCTAACCAGGTATATAGGATGTCCGACATGGTATCTTGAGCAGTGGTTATGAAAGTGTTGAAATATAGTCATACCCTACCGGGTATGTTGACAAGATTTCAACACTTTCGTAGCTACTGGTAAAGATACCAGGTCGAGTATCCTGTATACCCGAACGGGTATCCGACCTAACCTCACCAAAACACGTGTATATACCTTATTTCATTTTCATTTTAATATCCTTGTCCTCCCACCATAGACAGACCCGACAAGCTAGGTAAGATGTCTGGCTCACCAGTAATGAAAATAGTGACGTCATCACCTTTTGGATCGACAAAAGAAACGTCTACGTGTGTGGTTACTTCCCATATAACGACGCAACATTCTGGGAGTTCGAGGGTAACACATATATTTCAGGTTCTAGGCGTCTGGCTTACATTTGGAGCTACAAGAGTGGTTACAATATTGTTTTTGGTTTTGGTGCTTCACGTGAAACCATTCATCTGAGTGGGTTGAACATGGTGAACACCATTTTCACGCTATTCAGGACACCTAACTCAAACACATCAGAAAGTGTTTCACAGAAGAGCTGTATTAAAGCTTTGATTTGTCTCGTTCAAATGATTGCCGAATCTGCCAGGTTTTATCAGGTCACCCAATACATCGTCACAAACCGAAACACTCCCGAACCACTATCTCTACAGCTCGTAGGGTTAGAGCAATCTTTCGATTCATTGTCTGGCTTTGTCCAGCGAACCCCACACACTGCTGATGACAACACTCAATTGCCCGACATCTTGAACCCCAACCCTGAAGACATTTTGACATTAGGTCAAGTCCGTGCTACATTTGTGCTTTTGTTGTACTTCTCTCCAACAAGTGGCCACCGCAACATCCTTCTTCAACCCTTGTACTTCCGCACATTGGTCAAAATCGAGTATGTTCTCTTGGTGGGTATTGATGGAGAGGACCAAGGTGACCTTCACAGAACCATGAAGGTTCAAAATTGGGTGGACGAGTTTACCGCGTACAACAGGGCCTCACATGACTCTTAGAAGAAAGGTCCAGACAAATATGCCACACTGACAGGCCTTTCCCACAGGCCTTTTCCACCTGCGGGGACGATATCTTCGTCATTAGCGTCAACCTCTTGGACTATGAAATTTTTCTCCTAATGAACAGATCACTCTCGGTAACATTGTTTCGTAATCGAGAATCAAACTTTCGAGAATTATGATCACCAATTGGAGAATGTTGTGGACGACAAATACGGTCATGTTCAGATCAGTTACTCCGTTATCACGTATGCTCTCGGCGCCACTATGTTGGTTTTGCTCGTCGATGGGGAGTCTCCCCCTATCACATTGTTTGACAAAGGTAATCATTCTTCCGTTGAAGTTTATCAAAACATTCCATTGGACCACTCGTGGTTATGTCTTTGACTGATATGACAGTCACTACTGTTTTGTGGGATTAAGACGTCATCCCACATGATTACCAAATTGCTAACGGATATGTCAGCTTTGATGTCGTCGAAACTCAGACGAAAAATATATTAGGTAATTACGGTGAAGTTCGAGTCTTTGTCACCCTCCTCTGACTTAATGGACCATCTATACTCCAATCCGTAATAATTATCTCATCTAATCTATATGCATTTTAATAAGTATGGAGTATTTTATCATTACTAAACACTATGTACATGGATTAGTTACATCCTATTGTCGTTATTATTACTCGTACTATTTAAGCATATACAATAGTCTAAAATATAATACTCTATAGCTGGTACGTACGTTGTTACGTTATATACTTTAAGAATATTATTATGTTGCAAGTACCTCTATAATGTTATTTCTTTATCTTCTTAATGATATTACTTGTATTTAAATATTAACGTTGCAATTGATTAGTTAAGCACTCATCTAATTATATTATACTTCATAAAAATTTACAGTAATCAATCATAATGACTTTTTCCGATCACATCTCGATAATTATATTCATCCAAAACTCAATTAAAACAATGCCTTTCTTGATTTCTGTTCAATGTAGGGACATAATTGTAATGACACTTCTTAAGACTACAATCAAATTAATGGTTGAAAGTTTTGGGAATTTTCTAACAGATTTGGATTAGAGGAATCAGAATTGAAATGCTTCTTTTTGGGTTGAATGAAAGTATGGATTTGGACAGAGCTAAGTGAAGGGCGCATACACGTGTGGATAATTGATTCATTTTCTTCCTATTCTCTTTCTTCTTTTATCTTTTATTTTATTTATCATTCTATGTTCTTATATTCATCTTTTATTTTTGTTGTGTTCTTTATCTCTTTTATCTATATTATATTCTTACGTTATTTTTCTTATATGATAGCATTGATCAATTCATGTTAGCCAACTCCAAATGCTTTTGGGAATAAGGCTTGGATGTTGTTGTTGTCACCCTAGAGATGGTATGTAATTACACACTACGTAGTATATATGATAATATGATTGAGTTTTTTTGTTAAGACTGTTAAAGCATTTATCACACATCGGAATTGACCTCTTAGGATGGAACTCCGGGTGTTAACATGGTATCAGAGCCAATTCTGATTGTGGTTTGACGGCTTGTTTAGCACCCATGATTATGGGTAGCTTGTTAAGGGTTTGTTTGGCTAGTTTATACACCCTAATATTGTCCAACCCGGTTCAATCTGAGGGGGTGTGTTAAAGTATTTGTCCTACAACGGAATGCTATAAAACAATTAAACATTATATAAAGTTTTGGGCTACTCCTATCAGGTTGACCTTTTAAGATGGAACCCCGAGTCTTAACAAAACATTTGACAAGTTTTGCAAGAAGTGAAGTGTTTTATCTAAGGAAAATTTCCCGGGATATGACTAAAACAAAGTGAGTTTCTTGAAATGTGAGTAGTTATGTTTTCTTCCCGAAATATGACCAAAAATTGAAAAAAAAAAGATATTTTCGTTATTTTAAATTGTGGAAGGACAAAAATACCCTTTTTTTTAAAAATATGCATTTTACACTAATTTCGTCCGGGTAAAAATAATGCAATTTATGAAGTGGTCATTGCACTACATTTATTGCACTTTATGACGATATTCACTGCACTACATAACAAAAATGTTATGATATTACCGTTTTTTACATGTCATTTTTAATGCACTTCTTTTCATGTCATTGCATGTTTTACATTATTGCACTTCTTGCCATATCATTGCACTTTGTGCCATAACTCATTGCACTTCTTGTGATGTTCATGGCATTAAATATAAATTATTCACAACACATTATCTTTAATCGTCTTCAACCTAGGGTTCGTCTTCAACCTCGGTCCGCCATCCACTTCACCCGCCTTAACTGAAGAATTTGAGTTCTTGGAGCGGCGGAGGGGCGCAGCTTAGCGGCAACGACTTGGAGTGCGGTTGGCAGCGACCATGGAGGGGACTGGTTTGGCAGCGACAAGGAGGGTTCTGAGATAGTGTTGACGAATAGGGATCGGGACGACGGTGACGCTGATGGCTTGGGACGGCAGCAACACACGGGTCTAGGGATGGAGGTTGCGTGCTGCGAGGTCGATTTTTGGCGATGCCCGCAGAGAACTAGCGAGGGATTGGGGGTGGCCGTGAAACCTGCGAGTAGATGGACTGGTGGCGGCGGCCGTGCTATTGGACGGCGGCGGACGGTGAGCCGGCGGCAACAAGGCGTGTGGGGAGCGCAGGAAGCCAGAGATCTTTTGCGTCTAGTTGCTAGGGTTGGAAAAAAAGGGTAGGAGTTTAGGATTTTATAGATATATCATAAAGGGTATATTTGTCCATGGAAATAATTTAATTATTTATTAATTACGAATTTTAATTAAATAATACAAATTTAGGTAATATTTTGAGAAAAAAAACTAGTTTGGTCTTAGATTGGGAAAGTGAAAGTGTTTTAGTCATATGGGGGATAATTATTTCTTTATCTAAATAGTGTTATATCCAATGTGAAGCAAAGTGTTAAATCTTACGAGGCAAACTTGAGTATAGTAAACTTTTTTGGTTAGATTATATTGAACTTTACAAGTATAATCTTATCTGAATTAGAAATAGTCGAATTAAAAAACATTCACGATCTTTATAAAATTGATTAATTAAACTCATACATTCAAGTACTTTCTACACAGATTGGAATACTTTTTAATTTTTATACAATATATTCATGATCACATTAATCGTTTTCTCATTAGTGTTTGATACTTTGAAACGAGGATCTTGAGACTCGGTGCTTTATTGCAACTTTTGATCTCGTGAATTAAATGAGAAATTTAGTGTATATAAACCCCTATCATCATTAGTAATCAATCAATCAATATATATAAAAGAGGAATTTTTTAAGAGCATACAAAGCGCCACCTAATCATGCCATGTCATCCATCATTTAATTTTTTAATATTCTGTATCTTTTATTTATTTTATTAGATTCTATTTTTGATTGCATATTGATATGGAAACAAAAGACTTTATGATAAAAATCACCTTATTTGGAAACTTTTTCAAAACCTATTTAATAATTATGAAATTCATTAATTGCAATCACACTAATTAAATAACCAATTAATCATACGTAGTACTTTTTATAAAGTACTTTTATAACCACGTATACTTTTTTCATTATTGTTATACTTCTTATTTTTTATTACATTTTATTGAAGAAATAAAGTATCTTTGTTTTGCCCACTTAACAGATAAACCAGTTCCTTAAAAAAATAGATAAATCAGCCAAATTGCTATTTATTTTGTCTTCAAAATTATTTATATAAAAAAAGTATTAATAGTGTCCTATTTCCTAAAATGTTACTCCGTATATTTTATTCTTCTAAACTCAATGTTGAGATCATGATTAAAATTTTAAGCTATAGATTTGAAATTGTGTTAATACTTCGTATTTTTCTACATCTTCGTTTAATGCTTTCTTAATTATTTACACAATGATGAAAATTATAACCACCGAAATTTTGAAATTAAAAGCGAAATTAGTACTATTAGACATTCATATATAGAATCATATAAAGAGAATACTTCTAATCAAGTAGCTTATCTTTATTACGTAGTATTTAATAAGGATGAAAGTTGATATCATACATGCATATGTGTGTTCAGAAGTTAATACGTTTAGTCTAGCCAAAAGTAAATATGTTGGATTGTTTCATTTCTTTATTTTTACTAGAGTACTAGATTGAGTTAAATGTAAGAACCTAACTCACTATTAAAATTTAAACATATGTATTTCATACGAAGTTGAATGAGAAATATTAGAAAAATATTATTTTGAAATGCTCATCAAAGTAATCTAGACGTTCATAACAATTAAAAATCATTTTCAATGTGACGAAATAATGAGTAAAATGTAAAAACATTCCATTTCTTACATTTTCAATGTGATGAAATAATGAGTCAAATGTAATATCTTATTATCTCTACAAACCTATAAGAGTGAATGAAGGTAAGGCTATTTTGGGTATCAAAAATTTGTTGGTGTAACATCTAAGCTGTATACGAATGTACCATACGCTTAACACGTTATACTTACTCTATTTCGTTTATCTATTAAACAAACGTCTCCTCACTCCGTTAGTAATTCAACTTACTCTGCTCACGTCTTCCTTTACGTTCAAAAGCATGTGGTTCGCTACTTCCCTTACCCACCCGTACGTCTCAGCTGGATCATTGGCCGTTTGGCCCCCCAAGCGTTTCTTTCAAGGCTTTGTCTCCCTGTAAGTTATTTTTTTCCTTTGTTCTAATGGTCAATGACGATGGTGATGATGAAGATGGAAACTCGATCTTAACCTTCCGTTCATTTCAGCTCCTGTGAAGCACCAATTAAGCAAACTGGAGATTATTCTTTCAACTTTACTCATTTGAACCGTACGGTTTCATCATTTGGCAGAATTTCTTTTCCAGTGCTCAAGATAATTCTCCAACTCTGTTTAATATATTGTGACAATGTATTGCCAATTAGATCTGCCTTTCACATGATCGATGAAGTATTAGGCTCAAATTCCGTTTGGTATCTCGTTATGTTTTACTTCGTATATGTTTAGTTTGATAGCTATGTGTTTGACAAAATGTCCAGAAGACTCGCTATTAAATTCACCGGTCTTTTTACACGATATAATTTTCACCTCCTATATATGATATATCCTCATATATTTGCACCTTGTGGCAGGATGTTCTCCTTGGCTGAAAGCAAAAAATGTGCTCAAATTATTATTTTCAGAACTCACAAACTCAAAGATGGTTTTGATATGCAATTTAGAAAAAAATACCTCTTTTTTTTAAAAAACAAAACCTCTTAAATGCACAAAACGTAAAATATATTTTAAATGGATTGAGATCTGCATAGCAAGTTGTTCTCCTTCAGTGTATTTAGACTTGGTTTTGTTTACCTTAATTTTTTTGTTAAAATTGGATTACTTCATACTTCTTTTGTTGAATTTGTTTTGATCTTCACGACTTCACTTCATTTAAACAAGCGAAGATGATGCCTTTCTAATCCTAACATAAACCTCATAAGAGACAAGCCTTTAGGATAGAGAAGCCTTTTTCCTAGCTTAAAGTTGTAAACCAATAATTCCACTGCATTTAACAATTATTTTCAAAACAGCTCGGTCTCTTTGTGCACTTTAATCATAAACCAAATTAATTCCACTCCGAACCATTTAATCAAAAAACTAATATCCTATTTTAAACGGAAAATTTGAAAATAATAATCCCAACCATTGGCGGTTCGCTTACAATAATCCTAACTATTGATTATTTTTGTATAATTCCAACTATATGGACCGTCCGCCAATAATGGTCCATGATCAGATTTAACTCCTATAAAAAAGTGAATTTTAAATAGAAATTAAGTGTAAAAATCAAAAGTTGGGATTATTTATAGGCATTATTGTTATATCTCTTCTCATCTACTTTAAAAACTACAAGAATTTATTTTTAGGGACCATTATTGGCGGAAGGTCCCTAAAGTTGCGATTATTCTGAAATAATCAATAATTGGGATTATTATAAACGGACCACCGATAGTTGGGATTATTCATATCAATTTTTCCATTTTAAAATAAAAGAAACATCATTCATTTTCATCGGTGACTCCGTCAAATGAAGCTTCAATTCCATGGTCATGTCTAATTTTGCATCAGGAGAATAGTGTTTTTTGGTGGAAAAGGAAAACCTCTAGGGATGGTTTGAAGCCGTAAATGAATAGAACATGTTTAAGTTAAGTAGGTTGTATGTCTACATCAGGTGTAAATGTGTAATGTTTGGTGTCTTAGTTTTTTTGTTCATAGCAGCTCATCTTCTTAAAATATTAGTGCTATCACTAAGATAATACTCGTACATAGTACGAAGTATAACAGTAACATTATACTACGTAGAGAATAATTAGCACTAATAGTTAAGCTCTGCTTGTAGCCTTCCACAGTTTATTATTTATGAAGGATGCATGAAATAATTATCAAAATTGTGGCTGGTTTTGCTAACAATTGGCATAAGTAGTACTCCGTATGTAATTACTTAGTTTGAGTGTTAGAAAAACAAAACATCAGTGTCATCCATATAATAATTCGATTTCAATTGGTTCTAATAAGTAGCATCCAAATTTAAGTAATAAAAAACTACTATAAAGTACGGAGTACAAATTTTCACAAAACTTGAAGCAAACTCAAAAATTATGATAGTTGTTTTTTGTCTATAACCAATTATGCTGGGAGCCATCTAATGATCGACTATTTCTTAACAAGTTAGAACTTGCATCTTATTGATACCGATACTAACTTTTCTTGTGATTTCCTCCATGGAGTGAACTTATAATAATCTAAATATGAATGACAAAATGTATACAAAGAGTTTAATCTGTAAGTTTTTGTTTTATGTAAGACAATTTAGAAGTATTTGGAAATGAAAACCACTAACATCAAACCTATTGGGACGGGGCTATCTTTATATTTGTAGGGAAAAGGAAAATCTTTTGCTAATAACACCTATTGGCCAGAAGAAGAACTCCTTGGAAAGCATTTGTAATAAGCTAAGTAATTAAATGTGTGCCTCAAGGCATTACAATAAAAAGTCAAAGGTTGCATGTTTTCATGCCAATAAGATTCAATTCAATAGATAATAACTACTAGACATATTTTGGAAGTGTTTATTTTTTAAACAGCATTGGGCATCTACACTATCGCGCAACGCGCGTATGAAAACTAGTTAAAAGTTAAAAGTAAATACTCCACAGTTCATACCAAGTTCAATGAGGAATATGAAAAAAGTATAGGTGCATAATAAAATAATTTAGAAGACATGAGATTAATTAAGAAGCTTCTCTGTGAATTCTTTAAAATTGGGTTCACCACAATTGTGTTTAATTGAGATGCTAATGTAAAACAACATTTTGAATATTTTCCATATAATTGTTTCTTTATTTTACAAGTGAAATATTTTTTAATTTTTTTCATGATTTGAGAGATTCTGCCTATTCAGCCCATTCAAGTGATTCAACCCGAATTTAATCAATTTCAGTAAAATAAGCTGATTTCGCTAATTTTACTACGAGTATTATCAAACGAACTCTATATTTAGATTGAGTTTATTTTTCTTTTGCATCCCATTATATATGATTTCGAAAATATCAAATTTAAAATTAGCTAAATTATGTACTACCCGTGCATCGCACGGGCTTGAAACATAGTATTCTATATATGAGAAATATTAGAAAGTGCCTCGATAGTACAATAAACCCAACTATCCCACTAAAGAATGAGATATTGCGTACTATATTCCTCCTATTGAAAACTTCTCGTCCACTATTATTCGGTCAACGTAAAGTCTTCTTGATCTTTTACTTTATATATTCAACTTTTATCAAATTTGTTTTTTTTCCAACTTTTTAAAGCTTTTAATTTAGTTTCTAAATATGTATATTTTATTTACTAAAAGCAAGCTTAATGCGGTAAAGGATCAGTTAATTTTATGGTCATTCAAACATCTTAACCCGCATGAGAATTTTTGTACAGGATAAAGGGGTAAAGGGGTAGTATTTTACATACTTAATTGTTGAGGACTGCTCAGGTCCAGCCGGAGGGACGGGAGCAGCCGTCCGAACTTCACTGTTTGGGGCAGTTCTCGTTGGAATTTTTCGATGTAATTTTTTTAGCATGTTCCTCATCAAGTCTAGTTTGTCCATACCAAATTTCAGTTCAAAATTCGACTGGGAAGGCAGTCAAATAAATTCTTGAAACTTACTGCACTTTATATATGCGCAGAATGTGCAGTAAGCTTCAAGAATTTATTTGACTGCCTTCCGGGTCGAATTTTGAGCTGAAATTCGGTATGGACAAACTAGACTTGATGAGGAACATGCTCAAAAAATTTCATCAAAAAATTCAACCGGGAACCGCCCCAAACAGTGAAGTTCGGACGGCTGCTCCCGTCCCTCTGGCTGGACCTGAGCATTTCTGCTTAATTGTTTTTCGAACATGCCTAGTATTTGTTGTACAATATACAAAATGCATGTGAACTGACAGGTCATGCAGTGTGTCTCTAGTACTTGGTAGGGATGGACTCGGGCCAGGCGGCCCGCCCCGGAACCGGCCCGGCCCGGTGGCCCGGCCCATGGGCGGTTCGGGTCGGCCCGGCCCGGCCCGGTGGCTACCAGTTCCGGGCCCGAGCCTTCATTTTGGTGAACCGGCCCGGCCGGTTCGGTCCGGATTTATTATTATTTTTTTGATTTTTTTTAAGTTTTTGGATTGGATTGGGTATTTTGGACCATTTGAGGTGGTTTGGGGTGGTTTGGGGTCGAGGGGGGGGGGGGGGTAGGGGGTTGATTAGGAAAACCCAAAAAAAAAATTATATAGGACCGAACCGGGCCCGGCCCGAACCGGACCCGGGGGTTACCCGGGCCGGTTCCGGGCCTCCCATACCTTGAACCGAGGCCCGGCCGGTTCAAGGCCCGAACCGGGCCCGGCCCAGAACCGGTCCATCCCTGGTACTTGTCAGATTTGTAGCATGCGATACCATTTCACATTTTTTGTTTTGTATCACCAGGGGCGTTTTGGTTTTGTCCCTGGATTTTTGTCCAAACACAAAAAAAATCATATTTTGGGAATTTTCAAACATTTACTCCTATTTGTGATTTTTAGTCATGTTGTAATCCTATTTAGGCAATTCACTCTATTTATACAACACTCAACTAATTACATTATAAAATGTGTAGTTATCATCACAATGACTTCTCCATAATTATATTTATCCAACAACTTAATAGAAATGGTGCCGTTAATTAGATACAATTGAATACTATATTAGTTTTCACCCAATTGAATGATACTTGGACTTGGAGTTAATTACGATATCTCCAAAAGCCTTCAATTTCTAATTTTCCGATATTAGATATACATGCATACAAAACCCATGTTTCAGCTCCTTGCAGTACTCAAAATGTAGCTACTAATCTTTACAATTATGAGGCTTCTAATTTCTTCTCGGGACCAATAGTTTTAAAAGTTAAATTATGAAATCTTTGGGTGAAATGGAAATTCGATCAATTCTCGTGACTGCAATCAAACAAATGGTTCAAATTGAGAAATTTTAATTTTTTTGGAGTTTTCACTAGAGATGCATGGTAATTACATGATTGAATGTTGGTTATACAATTTTTATATGTAATTTTTTGCTTTATAATACGTTAATGTTTTGATGATGTACGTTAACTATGAAGTGTTTTGCTTCTTTAATATTTTTTTTATTAGTTTTATAAAAGGGTAGGGACCCCGTGACTCTGATTTTCTGGGTCCGCCACTGATCTAGCCCATGATATGTTTGTGGTATTGATGTTCTGAACTCTCTCATTCGTGCAGTGAAAATGTGCTCTTCAGAAATTGTGGATTATTAGGCGCTTTCAAGTAATGTGTCTAAAAAATGAAAGTTCCAATGGCCGAGTCTAGCTTCATACACTTCTTTTTATATCACGAGATGGTAAAAGTAAATATGAATGTAAATATAAATTGATAAGAGATGGTACATCTTCTCAAACGAAGATGTCGGAACCGTGTGACACTTTGGTGTGGAAATGGATTCAAACTAAGAAAGTATCTTGAAGAGTCTATACAACAGACAGTGGCGGACCTAGAGATTTGTAAGAGCTAGGGCACACTAGCGGGATAATATGGAGTTTGTTAGCTTCTCAAATAACCTGAGTACTGTTAGGCTAGTGATAAAACTAATTTTGAAATGGAAAATTTACCATGAGTTAGGGATACTATGAAGCTAACAAACTCCATATTATCCCGCAGTTTGGTTAAGGGGTCTTAGGTTATTTGAGAAGGGAGAGGAGGTAGCCTTGAGGGTGAAAGCAAAATTGCTTGACATAGGGAGAGATAGCCTTGAGGGTAGTTGAGGCCATGAGGGTGTAAGAAAAATTGCATGCTTGACATAAAAGTGCATGTGATGGTTGTTTTGATGAAATGAAAGCATAGAGTATGTACACGTTTGTTCTTACTTGAGTGAACTTTTTTTTTGAAAGGACATAACGCAAGGCAAGCTCATGAAGATTATGACTACATATTAAGTAGAATTATGTAGGACTTGATTTCAGTTAGTTAGTTAGTTATTAACACACTGTAATATTAGCACAACTGAGATTCGCTATTAAGTTTTTGTTTCTCATGCAATATGAAGAAGTTATCTTACTTGTTTTCCCGTTTTTGCCATAACTACTTGAAACAGGAAAATGGGCATTCATCCATTATACTTGGATATTGAGCATGGGTTGGTGTTGTAATAATTAGCCTCCTGTAATAATTAGCCTTCTGTGCATATTATTGATTGGAGGCTTTGTTTATATCAACAGATCTTTTGCTGTTAATAATTTGTGCAAATGATTTTTTACAGTTCAAATCATATTTTGTTGTTCAATGTCTCCAAAAATAAAACCCATTCCTTCACATTTATTTATTTATTTATTTATCATACAACGTAACATAAGAAGGGCAAGCTAAGGGTGCATAACTCGATCATATTCATTAGGGATAATTACTTTAAGGCTGATCGCAACGGGAAGGGGTGAAAAGCCAAATGGGAAGTTTTCACGCCAAAATTGGCTGCAACGTTGGGGAAACGTTGCAAGGTCTCATAGTGAATTAGTGAAACGTTGGGGAGGGAGATATAGCCGGCCAATCCACCCCGGTCCCATTGCTTGCTGCTGATTGTTGCAATCTAGGCTCCAGCGGCTGGTAACGCACCTGACATGCGCAGGGGCTATTTTGTGGACATGGTATGTGTGTGCATCTTCCTCCATTTCCTTTGCGCAGCTATGCATATTAAAAAGAACTTTTATTTCAAAAAAAACTTTTGTAGCAAGATCCAATGGCAAGAAATCATTGGGCTCAAAAAAATTATTGTGTTAAATCCAATGCCTGAAAATTAGATCCATAATGATGAAATAATTAATTTCATTTTTTGATTAATATTTTTCAAAATATTGGACCAGAATTTAAATATAAACACCACTTTTATCTTTATTTCAATATACCACTTTTACTTACAAAAAAATATTTAAAAATTTAATTTTTTTTACATCGAAATGTTTGACTTTTTAAATCATAATTATTGATAAAAATAAAAGTGTCACATAACTGATGTGTATTAAAAAGTGAAGGTTTATGCATTTAATTTAAAAAAAATAGGTGCTGGGTGAATATATTGACGGTACTAGGTTGCAGGAAAAAACTGAATTGACTGGATGAATACGTATAAACTGGTCTGAAATTAGATTTATTGACGGGCTGGGTTGCGGTTAGCCTAATAGGAGTAAAACATTGAGCAAGTGCATAAATAGGAGTTCAATGTTTAATGGAGTTTAATAGGAGTAACGATGTAATGAGTTGACTAAAATACCCTTAATGAGTCCATATTTGTTTACAATTAAAATCAGCTAAAAACAGAAAAAATAAGCTAAAATCAAATACAAGCCCTAGAACTACTCCGCCCCTGCCTCCCATCCTTTTGTTCAGCAGTTCTCAACGGACTTCGTGGCCGCCGCCACCGTCTGGCGAGTCCGTCGCTGTCCGTCGAGTCCGCCGCCGAAGGTCTCCAGAGAGTCTCTGCCATCTGGAAGAACAATCGCAAGCCTCCAGCAAGTCCGCCGCCTCCAAGGATCCGCCGCCGTCATCTGCCGCCACCTCCTCTGGCAAGTGTTTATCTGGTGGAGTCGACAGAGCATTATCAGCAGCTCCTTCCTTCTTTTTCAGATACTAAACGACAGCCGGTCGATAATCTGGGGCGAGGTGCTAACTGCTAAATGAACCGTACGCCGCCGTAATTCTCAACAAAAGTAAAAAAGACGCCGCCGGGAAAACAAGAATGCCCGGTCCGGGTCCGCACATGATATACGCACTCGGATCTGGGCTGGCCTTGATGAGCACATCTAACGGCCACTTCAGCCCTCACCACTGCCTTACCTACTCCATCAATGCTTTCTTCGGGCCGGACATTGGTTCCTTCTGCGAGTGGTTATCGTCTACTCTCGGGCTCGGCGGGGATTTGGGCTCATCAATTGAGCCATGGATCCACGACCCTTTCTGCTATTTCCTCATTCTGGGCTTCCCACTTTCTCTGCTCTACAGCTGGGCCTCCAAGTTTCTCCTCCGCAAAGGGTTCCTTGATTCCATTTCTGGGGTCTGCCTTAAAGCTCTCAAAAAAAAATTGTATGTAGCCTAAGAAAAAAGTCATCTTTATATATGCCAATTTGGACTTGACTGTATTTTCCTTTGCAGGTTCCTCTTACAAAGATGCAGTGTTTGTTGTTGGTGGCTGCTGGTTCTTTATCACATTTCTTCTTGGACCATTTGTTTGAGGTAAAACTTGTCACTCAGTTCCGATTACATTGTGGCAGCAATTATTTTAGCAGCTGCTGTTTGTTTAATGTGACTAGCTAGTGTGTTTATTTTATTTGAAATTATAATTTTAGTTTTTTTCTAGACATTTAAAGATGAAGAAGAAGAAGAGTTTAAATAAAAATATACAATGCAGCCTCCTTAGCCCAAAAAGGAATCTCCTTTGACTAATGAAGAAGCTTTTTTTGTAAGGCACTAGTATCAAATATATATTATTATGTATTCTTAATTGATTTATTTGTTGAGCTAAGTTTAAAAGATGTAATTTCTTTGCGACTCTTTTTTGGCATTTCATTGACAAGTCACATGAAAAACAGATTTATTTAACTTAAGTAGACTCTTTTTTGAGAAAAAAATATGCATTTGGAAGAGGATTTTTTTGGGTGTAGGATTTAATATGATATATCTGATAGAGCAATGTTTAAGGTAAATGATATGTTGCGGTTTAGGGTGTCCTTAGAGTGATATTTAATGAATCAAAAGTGGATTTTTTTATTGTGATGTAAACAGAAAGATATTCTTTGGTTTTTATTAAAATCATTCCACTTTTTGTACCTTAATCAATTCCCTATAAGCTTTAGTTAGAAATCCAAAACTTGATGTTCATCTTTCATTTAGCAATTTTGTAGCATCAAAAGTTATCCAACCATTAGTATTTCCCCCATTATGTGTATTTACCATTTATACAGCCATCCAATATTAGAGTTCCTTACAAGCAGTGCTTTAACACATGAGTAATGACATCACTGAGCACAAATGTAAGAACAGATGCATTTGATCCTGTCAAGTGTGTTTTCAAAAGCATAGTTCAGTCCTGATCATCATCTTCCAGTGATACTGAACGTTTGCAACAAAATGGATTGTTAGGCTAGTGATGGATCTAATTTAAAAATGGAAAATTTACCATCAGTTAGGGATGCTATGAAGCTAACAAACTTCATATTATATATCTTGCAGTTTGGTTATGGGGTCTCAGGTTATTTGAGAAGGGAGAGATTTTTGGGAGTGAAAGCAAAACTGCTTGACATAAAATTGCAAGTGATGGTTATTTTGTCGCCTTCTTTTCCTTGGTTTTTCGATGAAATGAGAACATAGTATATGTAAACGTTTGTTCTTCCTTGAGTGAACTTTTTGAAAGAACACATAAAGCAAGACAAGCTCATGAAGTAAAATTATGTAGGACTCCATTACAGTTAGTTAGTTTTTAACGCCCTCTAATATTAGCACAACTGAGATTCGCTATTAAGTTTATGTTTCTCATGCAATATGAAGTTATCTTACTTGTTTTCCCATTTTTGTCATAACTACTTGAAACAGGAAAATGGGCATTCATCCATGTATGCTTGGATATTGAGCACAGGTTGGTGGAAAGGACGAGCTCCCATCAATCCGGATGCTGTTGTTATAATTAGCCTTCTGTGCATATTATTGATCGGAGGCTTTGTGTATATTAACAGGTCTTATGCTATTTACAATTTGTGCAAAAGATTTTTTACAGTTCAAAAATATATTTAGTTGTTTAATGCCTCCATCCTCTCTTTTTTGTTTTCCTCCTGGTTGGTATCCTGCAGGGTGAGCCCCTCAAAACGGATTAAGAAACAGTGCTATCAGTCGGCGAGACTCATCCTGGCAATTGCTAGCTTGTACTGCTTATGGTGTGGAAGCCAAATTTACGTGATGAACCCTCGGCGGCCTGCAGTCGGTGAAGAAGCTGATTTAGGGGTTCTTGTGTTTCTTGGCGTTTATTTTTTCCTTCCTCAGTGGCTGTGCATTCTCTCTATGAATTCAAGGAATTCCCAGGGTGCGGAAATGCTGCCGCTTTAAACTAGATGACCATACTAACAAGTACTCTCTCTAAGCTCTAAGCGCAGCCTGGTTCTTTCTGCACTAGTTTTGTATATCACTAGCTTGTTGAAAGCAAATGGCAACTCTGAGGCATTAAGCTTATGTACAAAGTGTACACTTGTTCTTTTGTGTCCAATAAAGAGGGACACTCTTCTTTTAATACTACTGGTTGTGTACCATTGTGCCTATGAGAGCATTAATTGTCATTTGTCATTACTTAAATGGCTGAGGGGAAGTCGTAATGGAGTATATTATTACCAAGATTTGTCACACACAGAGAGATACAATCATACAGTCAAATAGATGATGGGATGGCGTAAATGGCTAAATGCTACAGACTTAGCTTCCTTTTTTATTTATTTATTTATTTATTTATTTATTTATTTATTTATTTATTTATTTTTATTTATCAGACATTATACCATACCAGGGCAAGGGTACATTACTCGATCATGATACCCAGTGGCGGAACCAGAACGAAAACAAAGGGGTAGCTAAAAGTATTACCAAATGCAAAAATATAAATTGCTATTAAAGTTTACATAATATAAAATTTGTGAGAATAGTACATTACAATTAAATGTTAGAAGAAGAAGAAGCCAATTTAGACAATTGCGTGCGGCGTGTCTGCATACATTGAAAACGTTGCAAAATTGCTTCATTTTCAATCTTGGCAAAAATTTCCTTCTCCATGTAGATCACCAAACTATCATTCATCCATTCATCTCCCATTCTACTCCGTAAATCAGTCTTGATTTACGGGAGTAACTCGTGTGACTTCAAATGCACAAGCATTAGTTAATTCCTTTTGAATTTTTGGAGATGTCATTTGATTATTTCCGGGAGCATTCTCATTCAATGTCTTAGCAACCTCTTCATTTCTTTGACTATACCATTCTAGTAATTCAAGGAAATTACCTTTATTTAAAGAACTAGATGACTCATCATGACCACGAAATGCTAGACCTTGCTTCAATAGAAATCGTATCACATCCAAAATTGCGGTTAAACGAATGCGATACGCAACTTTTATTTCCCGCCCATGTGCACTTATCAAATGTGAGACACTTTGTCTTTGATTTTGAAAAGTTTCAAGTTTCACTCTAGCATTATTGTGAGCACTACCCACCACACCAACATGAGTATTGAATATATCTAGTGCTTTTTTCCAATTATTTACCCCTTTATCGGTAAATGCAACTTCTCCAACTCGGTTTCCTTTATTTGAATCTTTGAAAAGATAACACCACAAGCAATAAGCAGCATCTTTTGAAATGCTATACTCCAACCATGGATATTTCTCAAACCAAGCAGGTTGAAAACTTCTCTTTTCTTTACCATACACTCTCTTAGGATATACATGGCCAATCGGTCTACACAGACCTCTGGTTAAATATTCTCTCATAACCTGGTCTCTAATAAAAGGATTATACTTGAGTATTGGCTTACGTAATCCAGGATCAGACACAATATCATTTGGATCAAATTCGACACGAGGATGTTTTTCTCTACTATTTTCTTCGTTATCTCGTCTAGAAGGTCCACCGCCTCGTGTTACAAATTGTAAAATAGACATGATCGCATGAGTAACCTAACAAGTTAAAAAAGATTTCAAATTCAAATTCTTAAATACTTATAACCAATTAAAATTTAAAACAATTAAAGCACTTTCAATTTCAATTTTATACGGTCTACGGTTTTACCAATTCAAGCTTATAATCAATTATTACTATAAAAAGCAATTCTATTGAGGAATCAATAAACTTGCAAATTAAAATCAAACCTTAAAGCGATTAATCAGTCCAATTTCAAATTAAATAATTAGTTAAACTCTTAAAGCAAATAACCAATAAAATTAATTAAAATAGATATCAATTTTAAATTACTTACCAAAGCTACTGCCTTACTCCAATGATTCGAGATTGCAATTAACCTAGGGCTGCGCAAAAGCATGCGTCCACTATCACAATTCACAAGGGCATTTCGATTCACTCATTCATGCGAGCGAGGACTGGAGGACAGGGGAGGGAAGAATTCTCGACCTGCAATTCGCGAAGTGATCTCGAAGTCTGGCTTGGCTCTGGCATTTGGGGAACTCTGGAACGAATGGAAGTATGCAGTATGGACTGGATGAACGCAGACAAATCTCGGGTCAGACTGGAACGGCCCAACTCCAAGAGGAATGCGTATAGACGGAAAAGGAAAACTCTAACTCTAGTCAAAACGACGCCGTTTCTTCCGTTTCTGTGCACTTAACCAAACGGCGTCGTTTGGCTAAACGATTTAATTAAAAAAAAGTGTCGCAGCTCACCTGGTTCGCAGAATCGCAGCTCGCTGGATCTCAGAATAGCAGGGGCGCAGACAGGTCTCGCCGAAGAAGAAGACGGGGCGCTGGCCGGAATACCTAATACTACTACCTCAAAAACTCCGGAGAAGGGGTGGCGCCAGCACCGGCTCGCCCACCCCTGGTTCCGCCCCTGATGATACCATTTAATACGAGTTATCATGACTAGTCGGCAGTGATTGAGACTTGGACTTTACCATATGCACCACTTATGGTAGAGGAAATGGTTCCAGGAGCAGAGGGGTGAAAGGATACACTACCGGCAGCAATTTCATCATCAGCTGATGTTAAAATTGAAGACTATATCTAAAAGAGAAGAGACATTCCAAGTATGAAACCATGTACGTAGTATGAAGGAAAATAACTCGCTTGCTTATTCCATAGCATACGTATGGTATATATATTACATAAGTGTGAAGGAAGAGAATTGAAGGAGACATGTGCATGGGCCATGCAAAGCACGTAACCCATGTAAACATGTTTACACTAACGGGAACATTACATATCAAATAATGAGAAATAATAATTTACTTAAATATTTCAACACTCCCCCTCAAGGTGGAGTGTGAAGGTTGCGAACACCCAACTTGCTTCGAAGAAATTGAAAGCGATCTGTACCAAGTGCTTTGGTAAATATGTCTGCCACTTGATGATTTGTGGAGATTGAAACTGGCTGAATTTCATTACTAGCAACTCTCTCTCGTACAAAATAACAGTCCATCTCAACATGTTTTGTACGCTCGTGAAAAACTGGGTTGAGTGCAATTTGACGTGCCGCTTGATTGTCACAGTAAAGGGGCGTAGGTCCTTTCAGAATAACCGTAAAATCTCGTAGTAACCACCGTAGCCATATTATTTCACTAACTGTGACGGCCATGGCGCGATATTCTGCTTCAGCGGAAGAACGGGAGACTACAGATTGTTTCTTTGTTCGCCAAGATATGGGTGAATTACCAAGAGTGATAAAATATCCAGTGCTAGAACGTCGAGTGAAGGAACACCCTGCCCAGTCTGCATCACAAAATCCCTTCAAGGTGAGATCAGTATCAGATGATAAGAATATGCCTTGGCCAGGTGTTTGCTTTAAGTAACGGAGGACACGTATGGCTGCATCAAGATGAGTTTGGAGTGGGTTACTTAAAAATTGACTGAGCTGACTGACAGAGTACACAATATCTGGACGAGTTACTGTAAGATACAATAAACGTCCAATAAGACGGCGATATGAAGGGGCATCTACTGGCAAGCTACCATCGTCTGGGCGAAGTTTTAAATTTTGTTCCATGGGAAAGGAGCTAGGCCGGCCGGCCAGGAATCCACTTTCCTCTAAGATGTCGAGAGTGTATTTTCTTTGACTTAAAACAAAACCCTCGAGAGAACGAGCAACTTCAATGCCAAGGAAATATTTTAACTTTCCCAAATCCTTGATGCTAAACTTTTTGTCCAAGTATTCTTTCACGGTGGAAATGTGAGAGGTATCATTTCCAGCTAGTAAGACATCATCAACGTAGATAAGAGCGAAAGTGTTAATGGCGCCCTGTCGAAAAATGAATAGTGAGTGGTCAGCCCTTGACTGGCGAAAACCTATTCCTGTAAGGGCTTGAGTAAATTTTTGATACCAATTACGAGAGGCTTGGCGTAGTCCGTATAGAGATTTTTGTAATTTGCAAACACGGGTATCACCATTTTTACTGAATCCCTGGGGAATGCGCATATAAACATCCTCGGATAAATCACCATGTAGAAAAGCATTATTTACATCTAGCTGGTGTACGATCCAATTGCGTTTGGCTGCAACAGCTAACATGCACCGTACGGTAACAAGTTTGGCAACTGGCGCAAAAGTTTCATTAAAATCAACTCCCTCAATTTGAGTAAACCCCTTAGCTACTAGTCTAGCTTTGTATCGTTCCACTTCACCATTGGGTTTATATTTAATTTTATAAACCCATTTGGAGTCCACAATCCTTTTCCCGGGTGGCAATTTCACTAGAGTCCAAGTGTTGTTTTCTTCTAAGGCTGTGACTTCTTTCTGCATAGCTTCCCTCCACAGTGGATCCTGTACAGCATGTGAGAAATGTTTGGGCTCATCACGTGAGGTGATGGCCGCTAAATAGGCTCTGTGAGATGGGGCAAATTTATCATAATTAATGAAATGAGAAATAGGAAATACCGTCGAATTGGCTGAATGGGAGGCAGTCCGTGAATGGTCTAGCGAAGGGGGCAAGTCAATCTCATAATCTGTCAGATGCTTTGGACACTTTCGAATTCGTTCTCCTCTTTTTGCTTCATCTACTACCGTAGAAAATTCTGTAGTGGCAGTCGGAGAGTGCGGCATAGTTTGACTGGTGGACCCTTCCGTTTCTTTAGCTGGATGAGTAATTTTGTCCAAGGCAGGTACATTGTCCGTGTTGAGCTGTCCAGGAGGAAGTAACCCACGTTCATGGAGCTGTCCATTCCCTATCTCTTTAGTGGAGAAGAGAGACTGCCCATTTGGAATTGGTGGGGCTAACTTGCCCATGCCGAGTTGTCCAGCAGAAACACTCCCATGTGATGGATGCTCCACTCTATCATCCTCATGCAGTGCATCATTTTCTTTCCTGAAAATTTCTTGGCTGCTAGCTCCTCTATAATTCTTCCTAGTACTGTCAACCCCATGTGATAACCAACCATATTCACCCTCCAAATTCATTGTTTCTGTCAACCCCTCACTTGCTGCAAGGTCACGGTTATCTTGGGAGAAAAATGTTTGTTTGTGTGGATGAAAATTTGATCCACTGGACGGCGGGCCAGGCTGAAAAGTTGTCGAGTTCGGGAGAAATAATCTGTGATAAACTTTATCAACTATAGTTCGGAAATCTTGGTCTCCATTATTGTCAACATTTTTGAATGGAAAATTTTCTTCAAAAAATGTTACGTCACGGGAACTATACACTGAGTGTTTTTGTAAATCAAATACCCGATAAGCCTTTTGCCCGTATGGATATCCAATAAATACACAAGGACTCCCCCTTTCACCAAATTTATCCTTTTGCTTATTGTTGTGTGCGTATACTAAACACCCGAATACTCGTAAGTGATCATAACTAGGTGCCTTCCCAAATAATACTTCATATGGACTTTTATTTGAGATGAGTGGTGATGGGAGTCGATTGATAATATACACGGCAGTTAAAATACACTCTCCCCAAAAATCAATAGGCAAGCCAGATTGGAAACGAAGAGCCCTAGCTATTTCCAATATGTGCCTATGCTTACGTTCTACAACTCCATTTTGTTGTGGTGTATCTGTGCAGGACGTCTCTAATAATATCCCATTTTGTCTATAATAATCCAATAAATGGTTGGTCTTAAATTCCACACCATTATCAGCTCGTATGCGTTTGACCTTTTGTTCAAATTGGGTATCAACCATTTGGCAAAATTGAATCAAAAGTTGTGGAACCTCAGATTTATTTTTCATTAGATAAACCCATACACCCCTAGTAAAGTCATCAACTATAGATAGGAAGTATCGTGCACCGGAAATTGAATCACATCTATAACCTCCCCAGATATCACAGTGTATTAACTCAAAACTGCGAGATGTTTTAATGGTACTGGTAGGAAAAGATAGTCTAGTTTGCTTAGCTCGTATGCAGGGATCACAAAGGTTGTTACTCCGATTAAAACCTTTGAGAGACTTGATGTGATGTAGTTTTCCATCTGATGCATGACCCAAACGTTGATGCCATATATCTGAAGTAATAGAGACTGACATTGCCACCCCTTCAACCTTTGGAGCCTCGAGGTAATAAAGACCATCACGGAATTTACCAAGCCCAATCAGATTCCTCGAGGGTAAGTCCTGTAAAATACAAAAGTCTGAAAAGAATGTGAGTGTACAATTAAAATCGCTTGTTAAGCGACTGACTGAAAGTAAATTGCACTGAAATTTTGGAATGTATAAAACTCGTTGAAGACGTAGCCCATTAGATAAATGTAAGCTACCAATAGCCGAGACCAGGACTGTTTCACCATTAGGAATACGAACATGTGGTATGGAAGTGGGAGTTATGATGTCAAACAGACCGTTCCTACTGCAAACGATATGCTCGCTCGCTCCGGAATCAATTATCCAAGGATAATTTTGTGGCAATATATCAGCCATATTTACATGATTTTGTATCCAGAATTTCGGCTCTGATACCATGTTAAAATTGAAGACTATATCTAAAAGAGAAGAGACATTCCAAGTATGAAACCATGTACGTAGTATGAAGGAAAATAACTCGCTTGCTTATTCCATAGCATACGTATGGTATATATATTACATAAGTGTGAAGGAAGAGAATTGAAGGAGACATGTGCATGGGCCATGCAAAGCACGTAACCCATGTAAACATGTTTACACTAACGGGAACATTACATATCAAATAATGAGAAATAATAATTTACTTAAATATTTCAACAGCTGAGACTGAATCATGATCATACAGATACGCAGAAATGGTCACCCCGTCATCCATTGGAACCACCACAGCAGATCGAGTCAACGGAATTTCCTCCTGGGGGTTGACTTTGATGCAGTCACCTGCCGATTTCTCAAACAAAGTGATCAATGATGGAGAACCATCGTCTGCAGGTACGGAGGTGGCTTTGATGGTTCCATACACATCCGCAGGTGACTCTCCGTCTCCGTCGATCAACACCACGCTAACGGTGGCATTCATAGCGAATCTTGTGACAGAGTAACCAACCGCAACGCTGCCGTACTGTCCTTTCACCACCTTCTCCAAAAGCTTGCCGTAGTTGGCGAATGTTAGATTCTCATTTCTGGGTTCCCAAACAATGACTCCCTCTGCAATCTCATCGTCCGGGGACAAAGTGTCGTGGTCCTTTAAACTCACACTAATAGTGACGGAATCGTCAGCATCAATGGGAGTTGAAGGACCAGTAAGCGTTATCAGTCCTTGTGGATATACCTCTTCGGTGTCACCTGGATAGACATTGATACATTAGGAAAAATTTATTCATTTGAATAATATAAATGTTCTAAGGTACGTACCGGAAGCCCTGTCATACACGGTGTGTTCGCCCCAGAAGTCAGTGACCTTTACGGTACCGTAGAGGTCACCGGGATTCTCTCCATCAATGTTCAACACACGTACATAATTGACGGTGAGGAATGTACGGAAATAGGATGCGCCGCCAACGGTTTCCGGGACGGTGGCGAGTTGTTCGTTGGCAAGGAGCATGAGGTTGACATGGCGGCCCTTGTAGAGCATGATCCCAAGTGCAACGGCAGCTTGACCCACAGTCCAAATGTTTATGGGATTATTTGTGGATGGGATATTGGGTAGGGGCGTGGCCGGAGTCCAACAGGGCTCGTCCGCCCGCTGGACGGCGCTGGACAGAGTGCCCCAACCGTTCTGCAGCAACACGAGTTCCTCGGATAGCTGAGCAGAGCTGTCCCAATTTGTGGCGATGTGTCGGGTGATGGACTGAAACCTGATCGACTCAGGAAACATTTGAATCAAGCGGAGCAGCGCTTTAGCGCACCTAGACACATCGTCGCCGCCGGTGGTCGGGTCTTCGGTTCTTGCGAGGTTACGAATGTCGTCCACCAAATTCTGCTGACCCAAATATATTTTCCTACGAGTAGTTCCGGCAACACCCACAAGTGTGCTGCCGGAATCTGTACGGCTCGCGTAGCTCCCACTGTAAGTGAGGTGTCTGGATCCGGGAATCAGGGAAGAATCTGAGAACTCCCAGAATGTTTGGCCGCCGTCTCTGGAATATCCGCGCAAGTATAAGTTTCTCCTGTCCATTCTTAAGATGATGGTGGCTTCACCGGAAGTTAGGTGAAGATCCAGCCAGCTCAGGGGCTGTGTCTGCGGCATCAACATTGGGATATTATGGGACGTTGAGTATTTTAGCGCTTCCCTTACTTTAGAAATAAATTCTTGGTAGTCATCTTCATACAGATCAAAATAAAATGAAATATCTTGATCACCTGCCATTTTTTGTGCTGAACAAATGAAAGATTTAAAACGAAATTTTTGCAACAAATGTTGATGGTGTGGAAGGATTGAAGTTCAAGGTGTGCAATGTATTTCTAGTTCAAGGTGGGCAAGGTATTTATATACACCAACATCTTGTTTTCAATCTCAAATAAAGACACATACGGAGTATTTAAATTGTTTGCTATATTATTTTATTCTATTTACTACATCCGTCCCCTAAGTTTGAGACAAGAAAATGTGACACAGTTATTAATAAAAGTGAGTTTATGTGGTTGGTATTGAATTTATAAAGTAAAAATAAAGTAGGAATGATTTAGAACCACACAAACTTTACCAAATTAAATAAGGTATGTGACAATCTTAGTGGGACGGACCGAAATGGTAAAATGAGACAATCATAACGGGACGGAGGGAATATTTACTATTTTGAAAACTGACTAATAAGCTATCGACAAAAATAATAGTTATTTGATGTACTATTAACATTTCACTCGTGAATTCACGATTACTTTACTCTGAATTACATTGAGTTCGTTTAATCATTCATAATTCAAATAAAACAAGCAGAACTAAAAATATCATCACGGTCCATCTTGTACAAAATGACTGTTATAGGGGGCAATATAAATTATTTAATGGTGACAAATCTAAATTTTGTACAAAGAAAAAGTTTTCCATTTCTATATTAAGCTTCAATATAGAAATCGCAAAGAAAACTTTACCAAAAACATACAAAGCTGTTCAAATAAGGAGAGATGTTCTACATATATACTTCGTGTTAAGTAGTAGTTTTGTGCGCATAGCTATCTTTTTATGTCATGTATGCATAGGGGCGGAGCCAGAAAAATGACTCAGCGGGGTCGAAATCAAATTTACATAGAATCAAAACGGTAGATTACTTTTAGACAATACCCGAATTGAATGTAACTTAGATAAATGATTGTTTAAATGAAACTAATAGAGTATATGTGGTTAATATACTTCGTATATGTCACATATATTATAAACATGTTTTATACGGGTTGAGTTGAGTACCTCGGATGAGACCCATTGTCTTACCCTAGTACTCTATGGTTCTCTTCAATCTTACTCGGTTTAGTATCAAGATTTCTTACTAGAAAAGAATCATTTATTGAGTAGGCACTCGTAGCAGTAAGATATGTTGTATTTGCTCTGTCCCTAAGTCATCTCACGTAAGTAACGAGTGAATTACACGCTATTTTGTGAATATAATTAATATTACGCATCACAATTTTACTAATTTCAAACTTAAATAGTGCTGATTTTGCAGAAGTCATAACTTTTTACTCGTAATGAGTTACGAGAGCCATAATATATCAAATCGAAGATATTTCAGAGCTCTACAATCTTAAATTTTCAGCGGGGTCGGCTGACCACCCTGACCCCCCAGTAGCTCCGCCCCTGTGTATGCATTAATGTTCACGTTTTTGCATTGTAGATGATATTAGGTTGTGTGCATTGCACATTCATGTATACTCAGTTAAGTAGTGAAGTGGAACAAACTCAGTTACATTAAAATTAACTACCCTTAACAGGACTACATGCTAAATATTGCTTAAATAGGAATAAACATTAACTTTCTACTCCTAATACTTCTAATCTCCTTTAAAAAAAATACTTCTACACTAATTAATTAATACTACGTATATGATTAATTGCCCAACGTAATGTTCCGTTGCATAACTAGGTCAGTTCAGTCGTGGTGGTGGTAGCGGAACTCTAGCGATCGGCACCATAGTCAGATAAGGGGCAGATGAATTAATGATATTTTCAGCGGTACCGTGGCAAATTCCGGCGACCGACAGCGGTGGAGTTCCGGCAATGAATCCGAAAACAATGTGGCCGGTGGCTGGCCCAAATTAAACCCTGTAAGGGTATCCACATTAAGCATGAAAAAATACTCCTGAGAAATTTGAAAAAACTACTCTTATTTTTGTTTTCTCCCATGATTTACTAATACTGTCTTCAATTTACTAAACTTTGTAATTTATAGTTTATACTATCCTCCGTCTCTTTTTAATCGCAACATTTTGAATTTTACACTATTCACATGTTCTACTTTGACTACATTTTTTACTATTATTTTATGAAAATTATTTTTTTAAAATTATATTTTTCAATTCATTTCATTAAAAATTTTCAAAATCTAATTTTTAAATATTTTTTACTAATAGGGATTAAGATATAATTACGGTCAAACATATGCGTTGGCAAGCGTGAAATGTTGACCGTTGCAACTAAAAAAGAACGGAGGAAGTACTTTACAAAGTTGAGTGATCAATTTCAAACTAAACGAGATTAGACTACATCAATCAATTTTGTATGATGCTACCTACATCACACTAAATTCATATATGAAAAGATGAGACAATTATTAAGAAAAATTGATTTGTGTGATTGATATTGAATGATAAAGTAAAAAAAGAATGATTTAGAATCACACAAATCTTATCAGAATTGATACGAGACAATCCTGGTAAGACATAAGGAAAAAGAAAAATGAGACAATCTTAACAATGAAATAATTTGCAATCAATCAACACACTTTCCAGTAAACCAGGCTATTTACATCGCAATTATTTTTATAAGATACTCCGTATGTTAGTTCGGATTTGGCTAAAAAGTCTAATGGGGCAGCTGCGCCATAATGGATACGCCTTTATAGCCCATATGGTTTCATGGCAAAATATATCATACACCCGGATGTACTGTGTGATTTGGTACATCCAAGTTTTTTTGTAATTACTTATAAACTTGAGGTGGTTAATTACGGAGCATGGCATTTGCTACTCTTCCTTGTCGCTGCTCTTTCGTTTATTCTTTTTCCTTTTCTTAATACGTACTCCCTCCGTCCCTTAAAGGTTTGCCATGTTTGACCGGCACGTAGAATAATAAAGTAAAAACTGTGTGGTAGAGATTTGTGCAGAGGAGAGAGAAATAACATGAGCCACAAATTGATTGATTAAAATGGAAAGTGGCAAAGTTTTTGGGATAACCAAAAAAGGAAAGTTGGCAAAGTTATAAGGGACGGAGGGAGTAGTAGTTACGACTTACGAGTAATTTACACTTTTTCCTTATCCACTTATCATTTGGTTGCTCCTCGTTTTTCCTTTTTACCTTTTTATAGTTCTCGTTTTTCTGTTTTCTTATCTTTTAATTTTGAACTTTAAGTTTTCTATGTTTAAGTTTTTATTTTGTTTTTCATGATTTGGTTTTTCTTTTTTCTTTTCCTTTAATTTTGAACTTTAATTTTTCTAACTTTAACATTTCTTTTTCTTTTTTCTGCTTCATTTGTTTCTTTTTTCTTTTTGTATATACTTTTGTCTTCCGGTTCTCTAATTTTGAACTCTTACTTTTTTATTTTTATGTAATTTTTCTACAATATTTTTTTCATGCAATTCTTTCAAAAATTCATATTGAATAGCAATTCAATAAAACATATACTTTTCTCACTCTTCTATTAAAAGCTCCAACCTTCTAAATAATTATGAATATATTATTTAATTTAAATGTGCATTGATAAAATTTTAAAAATAAGTAAAATAAAGTTGTTGGTCTAAAATAAAGGATCGGTGCTTCTTTATGTTATACTAATACAAGCATACATAAATTGATATTTGAGCAAACTAGAGATTTTAACTGAGTTTTTTAATTTTTTCAATGCTCATTTCATAAGCTATCTATGCTTATTTGAAATTGGTGTAATGCACATTTTAAAATGAGCATTACACCAGACATTTTAAAATGTCATATCCATGCATATTGGTGTAATGCTCATTTCAAAATTTTATGCTCATTTCATAAGTTATGTATTTTCATTTAATATTTGGGCATATTAGAGATTTAAAATGAGTTTTTTAAATTTGTAAGTATGTATGCTCATTTGATATTGGTGTAATGCTCATTTTGTAAGTTACGTTTGCTCATTTGTATTGATGTTATGCTCATTTTTAAAATATCATATCAATGCATATTTTAAAAGTATGATATTTAATTAGATTCACATATTAAAATTCAAAAGAGTTTATTACAGATATAATTTAATAAGTCCTAACAAAAAAAAGTGAATAAAAAGATACGAAGCAGGGATAGAGTTTCAATATTCAATAGAAGATGCTCAATGAAAATGTCTTGATGCTCTATGAAATGTCTTGATGCATATTGCAAAAGTTTAATATTAAATTAGATTTGTATATTAGACTTTTAATACTCAACATAATAAGTGTAATGTCCAGTAAAAGTTCATTATGCTCACTTGACATAAACCATGATTTTCATCTCAATAGAAGAGGTTTGATGCTCAATGAAAATGTCGTGATGTTCAATGCACACCTAATTTAACAAACCTTACGATTTTCATATCAATGCGCATTTTGCAAGTTACGTATGCTCATCTGGTGCTGATCTTATGCTCATTTTGTAAATGTCATATCAATGCATTTTTTAAAAGTACTATTCTACATTATATTCACATATTAAACTTCATAGGAGTTGATTATAAATATAATGTAATAAGTTTTTATAAAAAGAAAAAAATAAGAAAAAGAAAGTGAATCAAAAGTTATGATGGAGAATTCACGATGCTCAATAATACTCAACATGATAGGTGTGATACTCATTAAAAGTTCATTAATGTTCAACATTAATTATTTTAATATTGTGTGTTCATTATTAATATAAGTTTTGTGTTATACCGAAATGAGTAAAGTGTAAAAATAAATGTGCATCAGTAAACATTATAGAAAGAGTATGATTAATTTTGTAATTCAAGAACGACAAGTTATAAATTATTTTGTTGCTAGAATTTATTATATTTTTGATTGTTATATACATTTATAGTTTAGTAAATTTTTAATAATATAATGAATCTATTATATGTGCATGTTAATTATAGAAATGAGCTTTATGTTAGACTTTTAATGAAATGAGCATGCATAATGAATATATTTGAGCACATTAGAGATTTTAACGACCTTTTGAATTTTGGAATGCTCATTTTGTAAGTTATGTATATCAATTCGGTAACGGTGTTATGTTATTTTTCAAATTTCATATCAATACCGACGAAACTCGCGAGACCAGATTGGAGTTTGCTTGCGTAATTTTAATGCTCAATTGATACTCATTTATGCTCAATTTTAAAATGTCCTATCAACACATATTTCAAAGTACCATATTATATTAGATTCACATATTGAAGTCATAGGAGTTGATTATAAATATAATTTGATAAAATTATATAAAAGAAAAAATAACAAAGAGAAAGTGAATTAGAAGTTATGAAGCAGAGATTTCGATTTTCAATATTAGACTCATATTACTCAACAGAATATGTATGACGCTCATTAAAAGTTCATTAATGCTCATTCATTAGAAACCATGAATTTCATCTCAATAGGCGAGTTTTGATGCTCAATTAAAATGTCGTGAGATTCAACTAACAAACCTTACGATTTTCATATTTTCTAACTTACCAAGGTATTAAATGAATATAAATAACTTAAAAAATGAGTATCCAAAAATTAGAAAACGAACATCGTGATTCCTACTTCATATTTTCTAATTCATTTTTTCTCTTAGTTTTGCTTTTATAAAAACCTATTTAATTATATTTTTACTCAACTTCTATGAATTTCAATATGTGAATCTTACGTCATATGGTACATTTATAATGTGCATTGATATAACATTTTAAAAATGAGCATACCATCAATATCAAATGAGCATACGTAACTTACATAATGAACATTATACCAATATCAAATGAGCATACATACTTACGAAAATGAGCATCGAAAAAATCAAAAAGATTATTTAAAATCTCCAGTATGCTCAAATATTATATGAGAGTACATAACCTATGAAATGGGCTTCGAAAAATTTAAAATGAGCATTAGATCTATGTGCATGGATATGACATTTTAAAATGTGTGGTGTAATGCTCATTTAAAATGAGCATTACACCAATAATAAATGAGCATAGATAACTTACGAAATGGGCATAAAAAAATTTAAAAAGTACATTGAAAATCTCTAGTATACTCAAGTATCAATTTGTGTATAACATAAAGAAGCATCAATTTCTTGTTTCATACAAATCACTTTATTATTGTGCTTATTTTTAAAAATTATATCAATGCACATTTAATTTAAATAATATACTCTTAATTATTTAGAAGGTTGGACATTTTAATAGAAGAGTGAGAAATGTATATGTTTTTACCGAATTGCTATTCAATATGAATTTTGAGAGAATTGCATGAAAAAATTCTTGTAGAAAATTTACATAAAAATAGGATTTCAAAATTAGAGGAGCAGAAAACAAAAATTATATATAAAAACGGAAGCAGAAAAAGAAAAAGAAAAACTAAAGTTAGAAAAGTTAAAATTCGAAAATAAAAAAGAAAAACGGATGCAGAAAAAAATTTAATGCATTTTTTTTTTGGCAAAAGAAGAGTTAATGTTACAAATATTAAAGGTCAATATTAAGAGAAAAGAAAAACAATTTTCATAAATTGAAAAATAAAAATCGAGAAGCTGGAAGAGAAAACCGGAAGAGAAAACTCAAAAACAAAAAACGTAAGATACAAAAAATGGAAAAGTAAGCTGGAAGAAAGAGAAAAACGAAAAAAGAAGGAGAATCCTTCGGAGAAGGAAACAAATACTTGGCTCCCTAATTAGAAACCTGCATCTTGCTATTAATTACAAAAATACCGGGGGTATGTACACCCGGGTGTATAGTATAGGATCTCATGGTTTCATATCACTAGACTACCCCATCTTTGAGAGTAATGTTTGGACATTCTGTGCGACGACATGTGGCAGACGCTGATATGCACATAGCACATAGACACATACGTAGTAGTAGAAACACCGGAGCATGTTTTTAACCTTTTTTTTACGTTTAATACTACCTCCGTCCCAATGACTTTGCAAGTGCAAAGTAGGTGAGAAATAAAAATAGTAAAAATTGTGTGGCTGAGATTTGTGTAGAGGAGAGAGAAATATGCAGAATCACTAGGCATGGCAATGGGTCGGGGCGGGGCGGGTACCGCAAGACCCAGACCCGCCCCGTGACTTGGCGGGGCGGGTCCGCCCCGTGACCTGCACGGGTCCAAACTTGTTGACCCATGACCCGCCCCATGCGGGGCGGGTCCGCCCCGCCCCGTCGTAACCTAATTAGCTAGTATGTATTTTTATTTGTGGGAAGTTGTTACCAATTGAATCTACATAAAGTTTATCTCTAAATAATAATTAAAAATTAATATATTAAATCAAATTCATGATACCCTAAAAATTTCAAAAATTAAAAAAAAAATACTCAGAATTAAATAGTTAATCTATTTAATTATACTAATAATTGAACATATGTATTAAAATGCTATATATATAAAACGATAAAAAAATGCTGTATATAAAGAAGACATTGATAATCCGTCGTTTATCTCATTCTAATATATGTATTAATATATTATAAGATCAAAGAATTTATGATTTACTGTAACACACATATGTATGTTGAAGTATATTTGTAGTATAATTTAAGAAAAAGTATGTATGCTTACGTATTGAGCGGGTCGGGGCGGGGCGGGTCGGGGCGGCACGGGTCAATACTAATACCCGGACCCGCCCCATTGTCTAGGCGGGGCGGGGCGGACCCGCCCTATTTGGAAGACGGGGCGGGCCGGACCCGCCCCAAATGTCTCGGGCCAGGGCGGGTCACTGCGGGTCGGGTTTTTTTGACATCCCTAAGAATCACAAATTAGTTGCTTTAATTGGAAAGTGACAAAGTTTTTTGGGACAACAAAAAAGGGAAAGTTGGCAATGTTCAATTGGACCGGAGGGAGTATAAAGTAATTTGAGGGTAACTTTGATAATTGCCCAATGTGCATGTAACTGTTCAATTGCCCAGTGTCTATCTATCCTTTTATTTTTGAAAGGAATGTGTATCTATCTGTTCACCTAGCATTGATGATTATGGTTGCTTCCATGCAAATGTCGCATTTTACCTGAATTTGAATTATTACGGAGTACTACGTACGGAGTATTATTTTGTAGCACATGTTCTGTATGCAACAGGGGTCAGGCCTAAATTATTGTCCTTTTTGTTGTTTTGGTTCGGTTTGAACTTAAATTTAAAATTTAATAGTTCAGATTTATTTACAAAATTAAAAATTGAGTTTTGCTAGGTGTACACAAAATGTGTACATCTTTTATTTACACTTGTCTATCATTTGCAGACAAGTTGGCTGTCACAGACAACTCCTTATAAGTTGTCTGAATTTTAACTTGTGTGTCCTTTAATCTGAATTTTAAGTTGTCACAGACAATTTTGGGTTTAACATTTCCCAAGTTGTTTACACCGAAAATTCAGATTAAAATGTTAAATAGTAAATACTAAAGTAAAGATATCCCCACTAAAATGTTTGCTAGGTTATGGGAATCGCCATACTAAAACTAAAATTTGCATAAAATATTATGAGTGTGCGCAGTGCGCTAATCAGTAATCAGTACGTATACTTTATATTTTTTATAGGATGAATTAATGTTGACACTAGCAAATTATTAATATGAACGAGCCTAGGTTTAAGAGCAACTCCAATGCTGAGGTGCATTGCTATTCCACCTCAGCAAATGGACTTGGTTGGTGTGTTTGGCATCTGCAATGCAAAAAAGAATGGAAGGGGTGAAGCTGATGTGGCAAAGAGAAAAATGGACGGAGGTCTCATACAAGGTCCATCTCTGGACCTTCGGTTGCACCTTCTGACACAAAGAAAGAAAAATTATTGAGTCTACTTGCATGGAGGACCACTCATTTGTTTTGTTCTCTATTTTCCATTTTATTACTCTTGTCTTTGCATTTGTTTGCCTTCTCCGCACAGGAGTGGTCTGCAATAGACCCTGTTTTTTTTTTGTTAAATTAGTCCCATTTGAACATAGACCCTCTCCCAAATTTTGCCACCTCACTTGCAATCCACTTTGAGCATTGGAGATGCCCTAATATCACGGGGGGAGGGGGATTCCTAGAACATTTTTCTAATTCTAAAATTAAAAATAAGCAGTGACGGTCAAGTAGTGAAGGTCATTCGCGGCTCTGTGCTTCTTCAATGGCGTCCGCTATTATCTGTGGCTCCAGCTCCGCACCATATTAGTCTTCAATGGCGGACTTGGGAGAAGAGAAGCTTGGCTTGACTGGTGAGTGCTTGACTTTGATTAGTGACTCAAGTCTCAAGGTTGTTACGGTACCGCTAATACTATGAGTCTATGATGAGTTGGTTTCTCATTTTGGTCCTTGATATAGTTTACTAGTTTCATTTAATGGTTTTGGCCTTTAGGTGTACCGAAGCATACCAAATTTTTTAAAAAGTGTATACCTTTAGCGGTTAGTGATCACTGATCTTAGGGTATGACCGCTATATCCAAATTTGAGTATATTTTCTCACCCATACTTTCATGATTTCATCGTATTGGACATTGGATATGTGTTAGATGTGAACTATGAAAAAGTAAAAATTATTATTTGGTTAAGAATTGGGCAAATGAAATAGAAAAATTATAATCACAAATTATTTACAAGGGGAAAAATGCACACTTCGGTATAGTAGGACGAATTGAATCCTTGAAGGGAGTAATCAATCATTTAGCTGATATTCTTTTTCGCAAAACTAAATAAACAGTATAAAATAATACGTAGTACATAGTATTAAATAGCGTAGATAAAAAATGAAAATATATAGTCATGTAGATTAAGGATGTTTTCTTTTGGACTGAAATTTGCTGGTCTGGTCTGGTCTGTTTAAGTCTGGTCTGGTCTGGTCTGGTCTGAACTGGTCTGGTAAACGTCTGGTCTTTGTGTACTCCGTATTTTATAACTACGGAAGTCTGGTCTGGTCTGGTCTGTTTAAGTCTGGTCTGGTCTGATCTGTTTAAGTCTGGTCTGGTCTGGGACAGAAAACAATCCAAAAGAAAACATCCTAATTATTGGAAAAATTGATAGTAATAATCCCAATTATTGACGGTCCGCTCATAATAATCTCAACTTTAGGGACCTTCCGCCAATAATGGTCCAACGTGACCGACTATAAATAAATTCCTATAGTTTCTAAAGTGGATGAGAAAAGATATAGCAAGTAATCCCTATAAATAATCTCAAGTTTTAATTTTTCCGTTTAATTTCTATTTGAAATTCACTTGTTATCTGGGTCATGGACCATTATTGGCAGACGGTCCATATAGTTAGGATTATACAAAAATTATCAATAGTTGAGATTATTGTTAGCGGACCAGTAATAGTTGAGATTATTATTTTCAATTTTTCCTTAATTATTTAGCGATTATTCCTTTTGTTGAACTCATGACCTCCACAATCCGATCCCTACATATGGAAAAGGTGCACTACAAGAAACTTTGTCTATAATGAGAGGGTAATCTGTAATTAAAACACACAATCCTATCATAAAATGTGTTTAATGACGGGATATCTACTGTTGCTCTCCGTCACTACTGCTTCCGCGGTTAAAAATATATAGTGACGGGATATGTTACTATCATTGATCAGTACATCATGAGAGTATTTACCATCATTAAAAAGGACCACTTATAGCAAGAAATCATGTCATTAATACGCGTAATTACTATCTAATATATTATTTTTAGGACAAAAACTATCTCATTACTCATTACTGTTATAGCCACATGTTATTGAATGATACTTTTTTTTTATTACTCCAGGGAGCTTTTGGGGGAGGGGGGTTGGGGAGGCCCGGAGTAATGAGGGCTGAAGCTCACTCCATTGAGTTTCGAATCCGAGACCTCTCGTAAGGGAGAGTGAGTCGGCGACCAGCTGGGCTGGCATGGACCGCTTCCTCTGTCATTGAATGATACTTTGTATAACTAAATAAACGAATTATTATTAACAAACACAATTTTACAAGAGATTGAAGCCTTACCCCAAATGCATAAAAAAATACATTAAAGATTCCCCAATCTTTTTGAAGACTACACTTTTGAGAATTCAAGGCATCTACTAAAATCGCTAGGACGCTGAATGACTTTTGAGAAGTACTTCAAATATTTAGAATCCACAACCGTATCACTATTCAGAATTTGCACAAATAGGTTGGTTGTTTGGTTAAACTGTTTGTGATTAAGACACAAACAAGTGTGCTCAATATGCTTGCTTTGCTACAGCGGTTTAATATTTGATTTAGTAAATACAAAGAGCTGATATCAACTTCTATATTCCTTTAATTTATCCCAACCTGTGAGCCAAGAAACAGCACTATCAAATCTTGTACCCCCAACATATATGCAATACGGAAGACTTACATTATATTATACAAATTATAATAATAAGGCTTCGAGATACATCTATCATACCTGAAACTATAGTCATAACCGTTTTAGTAACAAGCTACTTCGAATCCTTGGCGATCACCCTTTATTACTCTATTTGTATAGCTTCATTCAAACTACTGATAATACCTGAAACTACTGAGGAATATTTTTTACAGCTTCACTCAAATCATTGCAAGGTCATACAAAATTTACATTCTACATAGACCTCCAAGTTGTTCGTGATTCACATACACTATAAAATGTTGAAACACAAAACTATCACTCAGTGCCGGTCCTTCCTAAACTCGGGCCTGAGTCGAACTTCATAAAAAGCCCTATACATTAGTGGTTTTTTGCAGTATATTTTCCTATGAAGTTGAAGATTAAACATCATAGAAACAACTAATTAAATGAATTTCTTATACTACATATTATTAGAGTATAATAATGCCAAATTATTTCAAATAACCTGTCAGGTACAAATCGCTGGACGTTTTAACTGCAAAAGTATTAGTTAAGTGAGTATAATCTAGTTCTTCAATAATCTAGTCACAAAAAATGTCTTTATAAGCTTCAATTTTAAGAAACCTATTTTTACAATATAGAGGACAGATCGTATCAGGCCGGCCTGACGGGAACCGCCGTCAGGCCGAGGTCATTTGGGGACCTTCCCGGTGGAATTTTTTGATGAATTTTTTTGAGCATGTTCCTCATCAAGTCTTGTTTATCCATACCAAATTTCAGCTAAAAATTCAATCGGAAAGGCAGTCAAAACAATTCCCTCCTAAAACTGTGCATTATTTATATATAAATTGCGCAGTTTTAGTAGGGAATTTTTTTGACTGCCTTCCCGATTTAAATATTAGAAATTCAAAATCTAGGCAAAAGAAGATGGAAATATTTACTTTGAGATTTGAGCTATTCAATTTTAGGCTATTGCCCTGTTGGTCGATCACCGTGTTGCCCTAGTAAATTGGGATGGTCACCTTTATTGGGTAAGTGGGTTTGCCGCTTTGAAGTGCATATACGTATGTAGTATAAAAGTATCAAAAATTTGGGGCCCTAAAATTTTTACTTTTTCTTGGGGCCTGAGGCCAATGCCTCATCTGCCTTAAACAAGGCACGGCCCTGCTATCACTCTATGTACTAATATAGGGTGAGCTGTTAAAAAAGAATATGAAATTATAAAGTCATACCGAGTAAGTTTTAACTGGGACTAAAATACTCTTTCTTTAAAATACCCTTCTTTAAGAACTCATGTGGAGTCATAGGACTTGCAACGATATTTGATTTTTATTTTCAATTAACGGTTAGCTACGCCTGAAAACGACACTCCAATCCTTTTTCATTGTATCTAGTCATATGAAAAACCAGATTTAAGAAAATGATATGCTTAAACTAGTATTCTAATCTTGTTATCTTTCACTCAAGTCATAACACAATTTTTTTTGTTCAGCTAGGTTTAAAACAGAGAAGTTTGACTTCTTATAAATTATGCCACTGAAAAACATAACAACATACCTTAACAGAGGGACGTGCAGGGGAAGATTTAGTCACGATCAGTTGTTATACCCGACCGGGCACACCGACACACCCGATCGGGTACACCGACACACCTGAGTTCGATCGAGTATACCTCGAATCTGAGGTTTTACACATACCCGATCGAGTACCCTATGTGTACTCGATCGGGTACCCAAGCTGCACCTCCAAAATGCCTATAAATACACCTTTTTTCCTTCACAAATAGACACCAATTCCTATACACTTCTAAGCTCAGTCTAGATAAGTTCTTTCTTTATATTTTCTTCATGTTTAGTCTCCAAATGAGGAGCTAAACTCTTCCATCTTGGTTTTGCTACTTTGAAGCTTAATGAATTGTAAGTTGTGAGTTATTTTCTTTAATCTTCTTTAACTAGTTCTGTTTCATATATTAATTAATACTAGAATCGGTCGATTAATACGCTTGTTATTAATTCGGTCCTTTCACGGTAGTAAACTTGGGTTGTTAATGCATGCTTCTCATGGTTAATAACCGAAGGGGAATTAATTATATTGATTAAACCGATAAACCGCTTGTGTTGAGGTTATCAATCTCAATCGTTTTCATCTTGATTTTATTGCTACTATCGGATTAATATACGGCGCGTGTTCTATATTGATTCGGTAGTAAGTTTTATTAATGAACGTGTCTCGTTATTAATAACTACCCTCGATGATTGGATATACTCCCCGATTGAGTATTCGAGAGGAAGATAGTTAAAGATATAACCGGGATCGACGAACATTTCATTAAGTGGATAGAAGCAAAGCCAAGTCTTCATTTCTAATAAGTAAACCACATAAGTCGTTCATCTTCGTGTTAAATTAAGTAAATCAAATCAAACTTTAAATCCCCCCTTTGTTACTAGTTCTATAAAAAGAAAAGTATTCCTTTCCATGTGGATACGAACCTTACTTCATTATACTACGTATAATTGTTGTATTGATTAGATACTTTGAGTGCACACCACAACAAAGTGCGCGTCAAATTTGGTGCCGTTGCCGGAAAAAGACAATTATTTTTCTTTTTATTTTATTTCAAGAAAAATAAAAATAAATAAATAAATAAAATATAAAGAGTTTTTATTCTTCTATTTCTGAGCTTTGTGAAGTATATGGTTAAATATCGTTCACTGAACCAAATCACCTACAAAGGGTGTGGGGGAAAAGAACGTGGACGTGTATCAGTGTATGTCCCTATGCAGGTTGTCTTTCCGGTGCGGGAGGATTCGCAGAATGCTCCCAACAAAGGTTCCTTGCCACCTGCTGGTAAGCATTAACATGCTGTTTGTCTTAGGTATCTTTAACTTGAGTTCCGCAACCTTTATTTTGTTATTTGTGTCGATGTAGCAGCCACCTCCTCTTCCAGTTCTCGCTTGGTCCCCTCTGCCCATGAACTGCTTGCTTTGGCTTCCCGGAAAAGGAGAACTTCACCCAGACGGCCAGACAGGGGAGGATCTATGTTAGGGCTATGGTGGGCTGAAGCCCAGGGCAAAGTAAAAAAAATTAATTTTTTTAAGGTATTATTTTCACAAAATTCTATCCAGCCCAGCCCAAATTTTTCTATAGCCCAATCCAATTTTTCAGCCCAACCCATAAAACAAAATCATTCCATCTAAAAATCTAATCTAAATGTTATACGAATTACCTCCCACTTAACAAGAGGCACTTTTGTACATCGTATAAGGGCCGTAAAGCCCAAAAGGAATAAATGTAATAAATACAATAAAATATGATTCAAATATGATTCACATCAACTTGTAAAGTGTTTGAGTATATTCAAGAACATTGTCCAAAAGTGAGTTCTTGGGCAGAAGTTCATAGTGTATATAGACACTTTCCATGTTTTGAATTTGTGTTCAATTCACTTTTGTTATAACGAGTATTCTTTGTCAAGACCTTCAAACAATTATTGGATATCTTGATAGCAATGAGACATGTTTCTACTACGCAACTCATTCTCAGGGAAGTGACATAAAATGGATGTGAAGGCTTTCTTGAAGAAGCAAAGGAGTTTTGCTCAAAAAAGAAATTCTTGTACCGAAATTGAATTCTAAATATATGGTTGGTCATTGCCGAAAAGAAACTATAGTTGAGCACTCATTATCACTTTGTTTTCAATGAGGCAATAGACTCTGTATTGTTGAAGTTAAGGACTCGGTTTAATGATAAATCAATGGATCAAACTCCTTTCTTTGAGTGCTTCATTGGATCCTGAAAGTTCATATGTGTCATTCAATGCCGATGCTATTTGTAATCTCTTGCAAGGAAGTTCTATCCCGAAGGTTTTAGTAATGCTTTTGAATTCGAGCGACAACACTATGCTCATGATGTGATTCATGATACAAAGTTTCGAGTATCTACACTTGTTGAATTATGTGAGCAGTTGACTAAGAGCAAAAGATCTGTTTCATATGTTATGATCAGCATATTGATTCGCTTTGTATTGATCTTATTGTTTTCACTACAACAATAAAATGATCATTTTCTGCCGTGAAACTTTTAAAGACAACACTCCGCGACAAAATGGATGATGACTTTTTTGTTAATTGCAATACACTTTATATTGAAAAAGGTCATACTCTTAGTATAGATGTAGACTCTATAATTGACGAGTTTTTTTTGTTTCAAAGCTTCGTCGAGAACAAATTTAGTGGAGAACTCTTATATATTTTTTTGTTTGCTTATTTTGAAAATTTTTAATGTATTATCAATTAAGTTTTTCAGCCCAGTCCAACATGAAATCCTGGATCCGCCCCTGCGGCCAGACTGGCTTCCACCCCTCCAAAGCTTCCTAAGCTTGCTTCCCTTGACGAGGTGAAAACTAACTTCCCTCGACCTCCAGAGATCAAAGTTGGGCTTGCCCTAGAGTCATTGGATGTGAACTTGTCTTTGTCCGCCAACTTCTGCAGTTTGAGGATGTTTTGCTGATGAGGGGCGAAATGTACAAGTTTTTGTTGCCATCTTCTCCCCCTGTTTTCAGCTGTCTGCCCCCAGCCGGTGTAGTGAGCGCCTCTGCGGCCTACACTTTTGACATTCATGTAAAATCCATGTGTTTGTGTTTTTAATTAGTTTAGATTGATTGTTACTTTGGAAATTACACACTTTTGGTGTAATAGTTTAATTTGTTTAGATTAGGTTTATTCTGAGCTCAAACAGGTCCAAGATCACTCTAGGGACCATTGGTGAACATCACAAATGGAAGGAAGGTGCAAAAAATCTCAAGACAAATTGAAGATTCTGATTTTTTTGTGTTGTACCCGGTCGGGTATGACCTATACCCGATCAGGTAAGTCGCTGAAAAATCAAATCGGATCAACTCGGGAACAAGGCAACATGCAGGGGAGATTTTTACCACGATCGAGTGTTCATACCCGATCAGGTGGCCGACATACCCGATCGGGTATGTCCCATTTTTTTATACTTCCGTGAAGCAACCGAGTACCTGATCGAGTGCCCTTACAGCCCGATCGGGTACACGACCCTGCAAGCCTAAAAAGCCTATAAATACACCACATTTCCTCCTCATTAATTAACCAATTCACATATACTCTTTAGCTCAGTTTAGATTAGTGTTTTCTTTATATTTTCTATCATGTTTAGTCTCCAAATGAGGAGCTAAACATTTCCATCTTGGTTTTGCTACTTTGAAGTTTAATGAATTGTAAGTTGTGAGTTATTTTCTTTAATCTTCTTCCTTGAATATTAATTGATTCCTACTCCTATTTCATATTAATATTTTGAGCATTACTTAAAGGATCAACTAGTTTTGTTTCAACTATTTTTTTAGACCACTATGACTACTGGGGTAGAATCACTCTCACATTTCCTTATTAAAGAGTTTGAACGAATTGTTGTCTCATGTTTGGATAAACGAGACTTAATGGATACGAAATTGACAGAGAAAACCACTCACGAGGTAAACTTATTGACATTGTTGCTACCAAGGGCGGATGTATGTTGGTGCAGGGGTGGGCTCCAGCCCAGCCCAGCTCAATTTATTTTTATTATTATAGGTATATGTTTAATTTCCAGCCCATCTCAAAACTAATGTCTAGCCTAGCCCAAGCCTACCAACTTTGTAATTCTATTTGATTATTAATTGAATTTTTTCAGTAGATAGTAAAATAGTTTTTATTTATTATTATAAATTTATAATGATTAAAGATAGAATCAAAGATTAGAAAATGATTTATTTATAATGCAATTAAAGAATAGAGAACGATGTATTTACTATTTAGGCATGTAAGAATGGATTCAAAATCTCAATTCAATTTTAAAATTGGGAATACTTATTAGTTTTATGTACATCGACTATTTTTACTCATTAGTTTTATACTTTTATAGAAGTATTTTAATTCATATCAATAAATACTAAAATCTTTAATAATCAATAATAAAATTATAAATCACGCTAAAAACGTTTAAATTTTAGATATGCTACCTCTGTCTCATTTTATTTAGCCATTTTTGACTCTTTACTCAAAGTTGGTAAACTTTGATCCATCATTTTAACTCATGTATTAATGTGAAACTTACTAAATTTATACTTTTATGATAAACTTTTTAACAAAGAACATTTCCATTTCATTTTCATATTATCAATTTTATTGTATAAATATATAGTCATTCAGAGTTTAACTTCTTTGACTTGAAAAGTCAAATTAGTCTTAATAAAAGTCGGAAGTGGTATATAGTTTATTTCTATAATTTATAAGTTATGAATATGCTCGAGTCCAGATCGAACTGAACATGACTATGCTCGAATCCTCTCCTTAATAGCACTACAATTCCAACAAAAGAATTCCCGCTCACTCCACTTTTACTCACATCCGTCCGATTATCATATAAGCCTAATCAACCGCTTCTACCTTTCCCTTCGTTCCCGATTCTTTTTTCACCAGTTTCTTCTACTCTTTTTTCTTCCGTTTCTTTTCCTTCGTTCTTTCTTCTTTGCAAATCGGAGATCCTCACAAGTTGTTGGTACCATCGAAAAACAACATGAGTCATCTGGCCAGAAGTAATCCGAAAAAAGGATATGACAATTCATTTAGACGAAGTCACCTGTCCGGGAATCATCCGAAGGAGATGGCTTTCGGTCCTTTACATTTGTTCTTCTTCTGGAATCATCCAAGATGAAATCCAGCCGATTCTAAATGATTTGGAAGTAAACTATTCTTCTAAATTATACAATTCATCTTTTATTTTAAAATTGTTCCAATTTGCTAGATATATACTTTGTATCACTTAGAGCGTTGTTACATTTTTGTAAAGAAGGTGTTTGCTAAAATTCCTTAATCAAATATTTGTTCCTACAATCAGTTTTATATGCTGTGAAGAACGAGTAGATATATTGTATACTTAATCAGTAAGTAATTTAGTCTGTATCTATTTATGTTGTCAATTTTCTTGGGATGGAGTAATTTGTCTAAACACCTGTTTTTTATATTCAGTTTTGGGGCTAATTACGATTCCATTACATATCAAACCGGTGATGGTGAATGATAAGAAGAATGAATCTTTTGTTAGCAAATGATTGTGATTTTTTTGTATGTAGTGTTCAAGGAATGATCAGGTACACGGTTTATTTTTTTCTCTTTTTTATTGAGAGATTTGGAAGTTAAGTAATTCCACAAAATGATGATGCTCTTCCTCTTCTTTTTACATTCAATGTCTCTTTTTCTATAATCTGTTACTTCTCTTCTTGGAATTTGATATTAGAATAAAGTAATGCAGAGGACTTACATAATACTATCTGATCTGAATTTAGTTTGGACTCATGTATTTTTGTTATAGTTATATCATACTCCATTGGTATAACTTCTCTTCTTGGAGTATTGTTTTATATGTTTAGCTACTTTATATTTTTTATAAAAGTTTTCTTACAGCAAGTGAGCAATCTATGTGTGGTTGGATAAAAAATGTGAATACTCCCCCCCTGCCTGCTGCACATACATTTTTGGCTTCTTACTATTACTTTTTTTTTTACTATTTCTTGTGCTTCAACGTAAACAAACTGAAATGAATGAAGAAGATGTCAACATAAAAGAAGCTGGAGTTTTTATACTTTGATATTCTGGAAATGGTTGGACTTTTCATAGTTCCATATTAAGAACAAGCATTTGGATTTTTCATAGTTCCATATTAAGAAAAAAGTCTTTAGTCCTTCATTTATTTTTTCTATTCACTCAGGTAAGGTATTGTGGAAGGTTTAAACAGATTTAAACAAAGAATGGATTGTCAGGCACATGAAACCCCCAATCCCAGATTGAGACAAAGAATGGACTGTTGAGGAATCCACTTCAGGTCATGCATTATATGAAAATATATGCTTCATTATTTGCATATTTAACAATACATCAAAGTTTAGTTGCTTTTATATCTACTTCATTTCAATCTGTACTTGCAGATTGCATGTCATTACTAAACTTGGAATCATATTCATTTTATAACTTCATTGATTTGGTCTATCTTTTTTGGTTTACTTGCAGGCTGCTTCGAAATTTTCCTTGATATTGGTTTAGGTGAAACCCCACTTACTCTTAACAGGCATTTGATGACATAGGATGTGGAAGTAAATCTTTTTTTAGATAACATCTTTTAGATAAAATCTTTTAGATCAATTTTAGTAGTTATAAATAAACGCACTTCTGATTCTGCTTATTTATGTTGTATTTATATCATGACACGGGGCGACAAAATTATATAGCTTCCAGTATTAGAGATGCATTTCAGTTTCACAATCAACTCTTCTATCAGTCTTGGGACTAGGACTCTCTGGCTCATATTTTTTAATTTTTAGTATTCAATTTAGGCACAATATCAGATCCCTTTTCATCTTTTGGGTTTTTGATTTATTTGGGCAATGATCATTTTGTTAATGGATTTTCTTAATGCAGTCATGCTTGAGAATAACCCCTATAGGCAATACTATTTTCTAATAGATGGTATTCTGAATAGCAGAGGTTATATCCATCATTCAACCTCTTTTAAAATGGAAAAGAGGTTATACATGATCAAGGTAACATTTTCTTTTGATCTTATCAACATTCCAATGATTCCATATCATGTTTTCACGTGTACTAAAAACCGTATTTTTCACTACTTATAATCTAAGTGTTCTCAAATCATCATAGCTCAAATAGAAAATGTTTGAGGTGATCTTCTTTAAAGGGTTGCTTGATGAAAAAACTTGAGACATAGGTTGGATGTCATAGCTACAGGTGGCCTTCATCGACAAGTTTTTATTTTTTGCAGTGGTGTTCTTTATTTATTTCGTTTTCTTTTTGGAAATTTATTTATTTATTTATTTATTTCTTAAATCAGCATATTGTAATTCCTCTTTTCACCCAAATGCAATTTATGTATCTATTATATCAAAATTAGAATTCATAAAAGAAGAACGCAGAATGCTTAAGAAGAGGTCTTTGTTTTGTTTCAGAAAACAAACACATGCTGATTCCATTTGCCTTAGGTGTAGATATTTTTTACCTGTTCTCAAACCATGTTGATAATAATCTCTCGGCCCTCTCGATATCTCTCGGCCCTCATGTTAC